CAAAACCTTGTGTCGTGCCTCCGGCGGATATGATTACAGTACAACAAATTTGCTCAGCGCTGAAATGCACCAAGAACATGAAGGCTTCCGGGTTTGACGGTATATTCAACTTGATCTTGAAGAGACTCAGCATGAAAGTGCAGTCTCTTCTAACCGCAATCTTCAACAGATGTTTGGAACTGCACTACTTTCCAAGCATCTGGAAAGTAGCAAAAATCATTGCCTTCAAGCTACAGACCAATCAGCCTCCTTTCAGCGCTGAGCAAATTGTTCGAGAAACTCATTCTCAATCGTTTGCTCAAGTTTGTCGAGGAAAATAACATTCTCCTTCCGGAACAGTTTGGATTCAGAAAGGGGCACTCCACCAATCATCAGCTAGTACGGGTGATGAATAACATCCGAAGTAACAAAGCTGTATCCAAGTCCACAGCCATGGCCTTGTTAGACGTTGAAAAGGCGTTTGACAATGTTTGGCATGACGGACTTGTGTACAAGCTTTGTAACTTCAACTTCCCATTACATCTGGTTAAAATCACCTCATCGTTGAATGGTTGTCTTTCCGACACGTTTTCCATCCCAGCAGGAGACCCGCAAGGCAGTCTGCTGAGCCCCTTGCTTTACAGCATCTACACTTCCGACATTCCTCCCCTCGGAGACGGTTGCGTGTTTTTCCTGTTCGCAGATGATACCACAATAGCCGTCAAAGGAAGGATGCCTCGCGGAATAACGAACAAATTTCACGATGCCTTAACGCCTTTGCTGATTATGCCACCACGTGGAAAATCAAAATCAATGTCTCCAAAACACAAGCGATCATGTTCCTCCATCGGCAATCGCCCAAACTGAAACCGGCTCCATCTTGTACTGTAATCATGGATGGCACAAGGGTTGAGTGGTCTGCCGAAGTAACCTATCTCGGGATGTTGTTCGATGAAAAGCTCCTCTTCCGTTCGCATGTAGAGAAAACTGTAGTCAAGTGTTCTACCTTGGTAAGGTGTCTGTATCAGTTGATTTTCCGCAGATCCCGCCTCTCAAGGGTGAACAAAATGACTGTCTACAAACAAATCATAGGCCCTGCGATCCTCTACGCAGCTCCGGTGTGGGAATCATGTGCACAGACTCATAGGAACAAAATTCAGGTCGCTCAGAATAGAGTGCTGAGGATGGTACTTGATCTAGATCGACACTAGAATAACAAATTTACACGAAGAGGCAGGCATTGCCAAAATAGATTCCAAAATAGATTCCAGAATTAACGAAATTCAAACTAAATTTGCACAAAAATGTATTTTATCAGAACATGCTTTGATAAGCAATTTGTATATAGTAGGTTAGGTGTATATAGTAGTTGTAGGTTAGTTGTAGTTGTAAATAGTAGTCTTTTTCAATTTAAAACAAACTAAGCCCACCAAGGTGGTCATTCTCTAAAACAGGCCTGATAGGACTAGGAACTGTAATTAATAATAATTGAAATTCAAAAAAACTAAAGTTGAAAATACGCATCTGTGTCACTTGATAAGTTATACATGTAAACCACACAAATTCAAGAAATAAAGATCATTTAAAGTAAAAAAAAAAGGATTTCTTGTCACATTCGATTCAACCTTACACGAAGAAACAACAACAGCATAAACAATGACTGGACGTGACAAGTAAGGCAAAGGATTCGGCAAAAGAGGAGCCAGTTGTGTTGCTTAATAGCTTACAGGGTATTACCAAGTCCGCCGTCCGTCGTCTGGCTCGTCGTGGTGATGTCAAGCGTATTTCCGGTCTGATCTAAAACCCGAGTGTGCTCAAGGTAAGGTGTTGCTGGAAAACATTATTCGTGGCGCTGTTACCTGAAGCGTCAGGCACGCACCTGAGGTTAAGCTTCGTTCATATTCCCTATCCGAAACGGCCCTGTTCAGGGCCACCAACTAATTTCAAAAGAGATTGATTCTACTAATCTTGGCATGAATGGAATTCCTGGAACCAGCAAAACGGTAGCAACCAAGCTTCTAATCCTGAAGCAACTGGGCTCTCTGAGTGCCCATTTCTCGTAGCGATGAAGGCTAGCGCTGCCTTTCCATCCACCAGGTCAACCCGTGTCCAGCGTAGCCGTACAAAGAAGTATTTATGGTGATCTTATATGGTTGACACAGAACTGCCTTATTGCATAGTGACCTTGAAAAGGGCCGTTTGATTTGTCAGATGAGTTTTGATGAACACAGCATGGATTTCCTGTTGGCTCACACTCCGGTACGGTGCAGATTGGCAAAGATGATAAGCACCCTGAGTTAAGAACCTAGAACTCGAAAAGTGACAAAACTGGGCGATGGTTTAACGTGTAAGAGTTATACTTTTTACTGTCAAGGCGGACGTTGCGAACGAAAATTAAGTCCACTCACGATCCATGTCCAGGTGCAAAGATTTCTTCATGAGCTCGACGAACTTCAAGTTCCCTTCGTTCATGAGGTCCATGTTAAAATTACCCAGTACAATCATGGGCATTGGCTCCAAGCAATATTTCTTCAGATTCCGCGCACAAAAGTATTGCTTCTGCTTGTACGACAAATCTGTACGATAGTAAATAGAACAGAAAATCAAAATATAAAAATGGAGGAGCAACACAATAGTTGGGTAAAGAAGAACTGCATTATAACACACCATCGACTGGAAATGCTCTCGCAACGTGGGGCTTTAGGTAGTGATGAAAACGTCGCTAGAACTATTCCACAGCCGCAGTCAGTTTATGAGCAAAAAGAGGGACGCACATTTTTGCCTGTGGACTTGGAGACATACTTCAAGTCCCCGCGTACATCGTACGGGTTAGGCAAAAATGTGCGTCGATCTTTAAAAACTGTCGCATTAATGGCCCTTCGCTCATTTTCAAATTCTATTCTATTTTCATACTGCCGTACTCTAACGGAACTATCCACCTACCCTCTTCTAAAGATCATTCTCTAGCTAATAAATCATCACACTAAAGCTTCATGTTAGCATTTCCAACCAACTCTATAAAAATGAGGTAAGGAAAATAATTAAAATATGGTTCATATTAATACCTGGCTCAATAAAGATACACATTACCATTTATTATATAAGACCACGTAGTCCTACGTCACCATTGCGTACAACCCCATAGGGCTGTACCTTGTAGTTTTTCTCTTGCTTCGGATTGGTGGTGCGAGAGCAATATGACATCCACAAGTTATTCGATTATTTTATCCTCCTTCCCCTGTGTCACGTTTATTCCCATACCCATTACACGTACTGTCACAAACTCTAGCACTCCTCAAGAGTGGACGTCTTATTTGAATCGCCCCTTTTCTACCACTTTATTTCAGACATCATTTTCATTGTATGAGCCGTTTTCGAGCTATGTTTTCTTGAAAAATATCATGTAGGCCATTAGAAAAATTAGGCGAGAGTAAAAATGGCCAAATTCCGTCACAAACTTAGTGTATTGCCCCATAGTGAACAATCATTCGAAGATTCATGGAATTCTGAGAGGGAAAAATAAAATCGATTCGTCCGTTGGCGTGGAATTGCTCAGATACCGGATCACGTTGTGAACCTTTCCTTTTTTTTCGCATGCCATGCAAAATAAGTGTAAATTGTTTTGTTGACTTTCGGCATCTGTGAGCTGGATGTTGTATGTGTACTGTAAGCGGGTGAAATTATAATACATTGAAATGAAAGTCATCGCTCGTACCTCATTGAATGATTGATGCTCTCCTGAAAACTTGCTTAATACCGTTGAGGAAGGTTGATTTAAAACCTGTTTTTAGAGACAGAGGCAGCTTTGTTCGTGAGTGCTTAATTTATTATCTTATGTTGGATAAGGAGTAATGATTGTGGTAAATTACAAGTACACTTTGAATGAATTGCACTAACTAATCATTTGTTGATTTTAACAAATTCCAAATCCATCCAATGTAAGTAAGACGGAAGTAAGACTAGGGGGTAATGAGATAATTAATAATTTTATCTGATTTTCACTAGAATGTGAAAATATGTGAAGAACGGCTCCCCCCCTTCCATTTCTGATTAATTTTCTTTAGAAAAGCCCCACGATTGCAATAAGATTTCTAGGGACTGAAGTCACTCTATCTACTGTAAAAAAAAGTTAGAATAAATTAGAGCAAAAATCGACTTTAGCGATATTTTACAAAATTACCATCATAAAATGTTGAATACATGTTTAATATTTTATATTTCATTTGTATACATAGAAATAAGTCAACAGAACCAATTTTCCTTGAATTTTACTATGGCGATCAAAATAACTCATTTTATCTATTTCTGATGGATTACGCAACGTGATTAGAGGCCATTAACGCTGTCGGTAATATGAATTTAAACCTTCAAATGCCATCTTTACGTCCATTTTGCGGAAGCAACATCATTGTACTCGAATCGTCAATCAGTTTTCCTGACAAAATGACTCCGTTTATTATTGAACATTCCATGAATGACTGACATCAAGTATCATAGCGAAAGCTGTACGTTGTACAAACGTACAACCTGGTTAAATATTCATCACATTTCCTGGAATCCAACCCAACCCCCATCGACGTCATGACCATTTCTGTTTAATGTTTTATCATGCCACCACCGTCACTACCGCGGAAGAAACCAACCAACCTACTCCACAATAAACACATGGCTGTTATTTTTGCATGTTCAACTCTCCGCGGACACGGGTTAATGCTTGCAGCACATCACCTTAACAGCAATGCCGGACATCGTGTCCGTCATCCACTGCCACAGAGCGCAGCAAAAGTCACGTGTCGCCCATTGTTTGTAAGGTCAGCCGTTGTCGTCGTCTTTGGATTGCAATTGCAAAGTAAAAACCAACCACTGAACAAAAGTTCGATATATTCATGACGGAGCGATACAAAGGGTCAATAGAGTAGTTTCTCACTGGACCGGATGTGCATCGTGATTGAATTGTTCGTTCAATTATTGTAATTATTATTTTCACTAAAAGCTTTATATTAAATAAACCAAATACTTACATCATCATCCTCATCCTCTATGTTTTGAAATTGCGAAGCACTCAAAGCCATATTGTCGATTCTAGGCTATGGCAGTCCTGAACTATCCACACGCTTAACAGATTTCCTCCAATTTCGATTGCCCCAAACTCCGTTGTCTTATTTTGGCATGTGTTTACAACTTCTTTTTATTGCGATCCGTGTTTTGCTTTCGGTATAGCTTTCAGCCATCAGGTCAGTTGCTTCAAATTCTGCTGAGGCTTCACTGGCTTACTTTTTATTCCATTTGCACTTTGTGTTTTAAGCTTCTTTTGTTTCGCGTACCTTCCGAATTAAGCAACACTGTATTTTATTACACAAAATTGCATAATTTATATCACACCACAGCGGAGTGGAGTTGCATCGCAAAGCACTGCTCTGTTTTCGTTTTTCGGTAGCGGTTAAGCGCAGCAAGCAAACTTGATTTTTTTTTATGCTACCCTCTACATTGCATTTATCGATTGGTGGACACTTTGTTCCAAGATTGGCTGACGGCGAAGACTACACTGCAAAGTTTATTCCATGCTAATCCGAGACTACGTGAGGGTTCACAGTCGATAACATAACGTCTCTTTGGTTATCGTCACTTCAATCTGGATTTGCTTGTTTATTTTCAGTCGCTTTGTATTATGCAGATACCCGTCAAAATCACTTCTGGCGTAGCTTTTCCTATGATTCGCTGTGCGAAAACTGAATGAAGCGGAAAAAGTTAAGCAGGAATACGGGCGCTCTAGCGTGGTGAATTATTGATCCGTCAGAATCGATATTATGTTAATTATTATTGTCCAAATGCCCCTTCTATGCCACTCGTCTATGTAATCAAAACACGAACTGTATGTGCGTCGCTTGCTATTGATTAATTGAAGTTTTCCACACTCAACACTCGTTCATTTTTTTTTTCACTACGCCCGGTCGGACACCCACGCGAATGATCCGTTGGCTTCAAGGTTGAATTTGCTGCCTAAATTTTCATTCGGTGCTTCACGAATTTTCACTATTCCGTGCCCGAACAGTAAAAGGGATCAAAACTATCCCGCACAACAATGCAAATGTAGGAAAATATATCCTCCACCGCCACGGCAGTATTGTGCTGGGTCAGGGAAGGAGAGATCCGTCTGACAGCTCCACCACTTTCTGAATGAGGTAAATAATTTTTCCAATGATGGTCTAGTCACCGCCGACCGAAGCCGACTTGAATTGGATTGCGCTCTCTGCGAGAAGATCACTTGTACGTAGAGGAAAGTGGGGGCAGTTTGGCCACCTTAAGAAAATCGTCACTAATTTCAGTGGAAATTTTAAACCAAATGGACAGTTTCAAGCCCTATGAATACAAATCGAATATTAAAAGTAAACTAGGCCTGCAACATATTTTTTTGTAATATAATATATTACAAAACATATGTTGCAGGCCTATTATGTTCATTAAGTTATTTTTAAGTGGGTGGCCGCATTGCCCCACTTTCTCCTACACACGACGTAATTGAGCTGAGAGAGAAAAGTAGTAATGCTCTCGTTTGTTGCCGATGCAGTTTGTGCTCCGAGAGCGATAAAAATACTGCTACTCTGTTTGGTTTACGGAACAGCTGCAGCAGAAGCTCTTTTCGCGAGTTACTTTTGCGAGGGAGTGTTTGCCTACAGCGCTCTCTGGAGCTTATCAGTCGTTGTTTACGTTTCCGGTTTAAGTGTGTTAGTTACGATCGGGAACGACGATAGTAAACACATGCTAGCATGTGTTGGTGACGACACAGGAGTATGAAATTATGCGGATAAGGTCTATAGACCAATATGACAAATGGGCGGAACAACTCAACTATACAGAGTTTTAACCACGAGAGTGGTAACGAGCAAAACTATCGTAACTGGTATCAAAACCATCATGCACGCTAAGATCAGTTTACCCACGTTAGCTGTAATTCGAATACACCAGAATATGAGTGGGGGGTGCCGTCTGATTATCGTGTTTGTTTTGATTATCTGGTGCGCTGAGGAAATCTGGCGAACCTAGACTTATGGCTGTTGGGACGGTTGTGAGAAGCTCTTACTGCATATTCATTTACGATGTGTGTGAACTTGAACTCAAGACGACCGTACTATCAACTTCGCTACGCCAACACTTTGAACTGACGTAAACAAATCTACTCGGTTAGAAAAAGGTACCTAAAATTAAGTTTATTTCTCAAGCATTGATTGGGAAAACATACTCGATTCTGATAACGTCGAAACCGCTGCTCAAACTTTTTCATATGTCTTGGCTTATGTCATTGACAGACACGTACCTAAGACCGTTCACCAGATTGCATCGCACCTCCCTTGGCAGACGAACGAATTGAAGAAGCTGAAATCGATCAAGAGAGCCGCGTTGAGGAAATTCACTAAATATCGAACGATGTCACTGAAACTTCACTACGTTAAGCTCAATTATCAGTTCAAGCGAGTCAGCCGTCAATGCTACTTGCATTATCTGCGAGGGATTCAAAGGAAATTCAAGTCGCATCCGAAGTCTTTCTGGAAGTACGTGAAGGAGCAGCGCAGAGAGTCCGGTCTACCATCATCCATGATATTGAACGGCGAAGTCGCTTCCACTCCACAGGAAGTCTGCCACTTCTTCTCCAACAAGTTTGCAAGTGTCCTCTCTGACGAGAGCTTAACCAACGAATACGTGACTCTAGCAGCAAGCAACGTTCCACTTTCCGGTCAAGCTCTGGGTGGAATTGTTGTCAACGCTGAAGTGATAACGAATGCCGCACTAAAACTAAAGCCTTCTATCAACCCTAGACCGGATGGTGTCCCTTCAGTCTTTCTGAAGAAGCATATATCCACAGACAAACAGACGTAACTCTTTGAAAAAGTTTTTATTGAAAACATAGTATCTCAAAACATAGGACCTCAGTAGCGACATCTTTCAGGCTTCTCGCGGAAAACAAGCTTGCTCGCTAACTCGCAAACAATATTGCATAAAAGTTCTATAGGATGTATAGAAACGTCAAAGTGATCCGATGCCAGCGCTGCGGCGAGTAGTTCGCGGAACTGATAATATTCAAATCAACCGTTAAATGCGTGAACGAAGATACACAATGAAGAGTTACGTCTGTTTGTCTGTGATATATCGCTAACTTACTGTCACCGCTACAACATCTTTTCCAATTGTCCATATCGTGTGGCATTTTTCCATCGAACTGGAAATTTGCGCATATGTTCCCTGTGTATAAAAAGGGTAGTAAACGGAACGTGGATAATTATCGTGGAATTACATCGTTGTGCGCAATTTCGAAGTTATTCGAGCTAATCATCATAGCGCCTCTGCTCTCCCATTGCAAGCAGTATCTAAGTGAAGATCAACATGGCTTCACCTCTGGTCGCCCAACAAACAATTTTAGCTGCAGCTTAGCTTATACAGGCAAAAATTAGCTGCATAAAGCAAATTTTGGCTGTATAAGCTAATCTGCAGCTAAAATTGTTTGTTGGGCGATCTACTACCACGAATCTACTGTGTCTGACATCGTACATCACGCAAAGTATGGTTGAAAGGTCACAAACAGACGTCATCTACACTGACTTGTCTGCCGCCTTCGATAAGATAAATCACGCCATCGCGATCGCCAAATTGGATAGACTTGGGATTAGAGGAAATCTTTTGAGATGGTTTCGCTCATATCTCGCCGATCGTCAGTTGGTGGTAGCCCATGGTGACTGCCAGTCCGACATTTTTGCAGCTACGTCAGGAATACATCAAGGAAGTCATCAGGGACCGTTCATTTTCTTACTCTAGTTCAATGACGTGAATTTAGTTATCGAAGGTCCACGACTATCGTATGCAGACGATCTCAAAATCTACTTACGGATCTGCTCGATCGATGATTGTCAATTCCTCTAACGTCAGTTTGAAGCGTTTGCCAGCTGGTGCCATTTGAACCGAATGACAGTAAATCCTGCGAAGTGTTCAGTCATCACTTTTACCCGAAAGAAAGAACCAGTTATTTTTCACTATGCTCTCCGGGACACTATTATTGAATGTGTGAGCCATGTAACAGATCTAGGTGTCATCCTGAACTCTCAATTTACATATAAGCAACACATCTCGTACGTCGTCGACAAGTCGTCAAGGACATTGGGTTTTATCTTGAGAACAGCTAAGAATTTCTTCGACATCCATTGCCTCAAGTCACTGTATTGTTCCCTGGTACGTTCCAGTCTAGAATATTGTTCTGTGGTTTGGAGTCCGAACTACAACAATGGTACTGAGAGAGTCTAGTCCGTTCAACGCCGCTTTCTGCGATTCGCGTTGAGAATGTTACCTTGGAGAGACCCGTTTCATTTGCCCAGCTATGAAAGTCGCTGCCAGCTGATTGACTTGGAGCCTCTTCGCACCAGAAGAGATACTTCAAAAGCTCTGCTTTTCGCGGACACGTTACATGGCAGAATTGATTGCATGGCAATCTTGAAGCAAGTAAACATTAACGTCCAACCCCGAATGCTTCGTAACAATGTTATTCTGAGAATGCCACTATGTAGTACAAACTATGCAATCAACGGTGCAATAGGCGGACTACAGCGAGTATTTAACCGAGTTTCATCAGTATTCTATTTTCACCTGCCACTACTAACACTTCGGAGACGTTTCTCTTCATTCTTCTCCAGAAATGGAAACAGTCAATGATCATGTTTTAATGTTTTGTAGTTTTAACTTATGACTTTAATTTTAATTTTAAGTTAAACCATCATTGGAACCATATCGAGTATGTTGATGCTGACAAACAAATAAATAAATACATTTAAACTATACATGACCATGCCATGACCACCAAGATCACTGAGTAGAGGCCAGGGTTGTTAATCGATAACTCGATAACGTCTTTTAGTTAACGCCTGCAATGGGAAATTCGCATAGACGTTATCGAGTAATCGATTAACAACCCTGGTAGAGGCTTTATAATAGTGCACATGAATCACTTTTCTCGACCAGTTAGTTCAGCTTTGTAAAGGAGCGGAGTAAAACCTGTAAAACTGCACAAGTCTAAAAATAAACCTAGATGATAGTTTATTTATTTATTGAAGAGGGAAAAGCCCACTTCAGAAGGACCAACCTTGCCCCTTCTCAAGTGAGCGGAAAATCTCTTCTTTTCGTATCAACAGATAACATAAAATCCTACAGATACATATATACTACTAATCAACTAATTCAGGAAACATTAATCTTTACTTAATCCTAGACTTAAACCAAAAATGAATAGTAAGCTTATAGTACGTTCAGAGTACAGAGTTATAACATGTTATAACGGTTGTCAAATAATTGCAACACAGAAACCACCATCAAGATAGCGCTATAACATGTTATAACTCTGTAGTCTGAACGTACTATTAATCAGGATGATAAAACATTATAGCTTAGCTTAGACTGACTGCACATATCAATGGTTGCTACTCCGTGATTGATCAGAATCAGTGAAATTGTACAATGAATCAACTGAATGGGGCTGGGAGTGACCGTCCATTCTCATTGTACAAGTTTCAGTGACTCCATATTTTGTAGATCAATAACGGCGCCGGCCACGTCCTTACAATCAGCTGGGAGTAGGGAAGGAATATTAGAGTGACCTTTGTTGTTTCTGGGCCGTGTTTACCTCTGCACCCCAACAAAAGACACAGGAAAGGAGATTTTGTTAGTAAGTTGGGTTCGTTGGATCTGGATTCACCTTGATAAGTGATGCGATCATGGTTATAAATGAATCAGTGTTATCATGCATTATACTTGGATTTGCCTGAAGCCTAAATAAATCACATAAAGTGCAGCAACTCAGCGATGAGTAAATTTGCCTCATGTTTTCCCAGGTTTTCCAGGATTTTCCAGGGAAAAATTCCCGAATTTGAGAAAAGTAAAGATTGGATTCACTCAGTCTATTGGTACTACTCCGAGACTGAATAAAATTGTCGTAAATTTCCTCATTTTCCGGCAGATTTTTTAGGTTTTTCACAGAAAACCATGAGACAAATTTACTCATGACTGAGTTCCTGCACTTTTGGCGATTATGAGTGAACTAAACTCAAATTTTGGTCGTTCTCATTCGCCGTGCAACAATGACCCCTTTTTGTCAGCTAGCAAAGTATGTGTATCTTAAACATCCATCTTGAAGGAAGAAGATTTGAAATCACAATTATGTGGAGTTACTGACAAATAACAGTGCATATTAGGAAGATTTATCATCACCAAATTATTCTTGCATTAACCTGGAAGAATTATTGTGAATAATTGTTATACAGCCACTTTCGGACATTTCTTTTTTTATACCTTTAGCTTATTGACCGTAGAAACTGCGGATTTCACTCTGCTGCAAATTCACCTTCTTTTTTTCACAGTCAAAAATTTCGCGGACCGAAAATTCCCTTTCAGGTAAATATAATTATATAGGTTGCTTCAACAGGACACTCTCTCGCTCGCGCCGCGCACTCAAACCGTCCCCGATTCCTAGGATTTCCGAACAAATTCTCAGCAGTACTTCTTACGCAACGAACCACAAAACGCGGACCCTAAAGGCCGGCGCACAATAGATACGTTTTCAGGTTTTTTGACAGTTAGCCCATGCATTATCTGTCAAAAAACCCGAAAACGTTTGCATTGCTTGCCGGCCTTTAGAATAGTGATTGAAATATAATGTAAACAAATAAAAGACTTTTCTTATGACTTTGACAGATAATCGATTGTTCCAATTTTGACATGTCGTCTCTTTATAAATTCAGGCTCTTTAGTCTAATATAGTCGATTACTCTAAGTGGAAGTGGCAACTTGCATCTCCTTGACGCGAACACGAAGCGACCGCTTAAAAATCATACAACGCATAAATAAACTGAAGTTAAAAACTATCACCCGCGATGCCACAAATTTTTGAACCGGGAGCACAAGCGAAGAAAAAAAACAGACAACGCAGATAGTCTCTTTCACGCACCATGTAGCGCGTATATACACTGAAATTAAAAATTATCACTCGCGATGCCACTAATTTTTGGTCCATGAGAAAAAATCAAACAACGCAAATTGCGACATCTCTTCTGATGCATGCAAACATGATGAATCACTTTTTCTTTCTCGATTCTACAACTTCCCGGAAAGCGAGAAAACTATACCAATTACACACGTATAACCGTCCGGGAGGCAAAGCGCCAGCGCTAATCCGGCAAATACAGCCGAATACTATGAAAACGAATGCACGCACAAAACAGAGAACAAACTTAAAACACAACCGTATTCAAAGGGGTTCGAAACTGCACCCTCTTAATCAGGATGATAAAACATTATAGAATAAGGGGCTTATTACGGATGTCACTTCACGGTGAAAAGTTGTCACTTGTCGTCACGGTGAAGTGATTCCCATTTGATTTGTACGGTAATCACGGCTCTTATTCTGAGTATCACTTGCTTATCATCGTGTAGTGACACCCGTAATAAGGCCCTAAATACTTAAGACTAGCACGGGAAGCATTGAAGTCAAAAAAGTTTTAACTAGAGTCGGTGTATAATGAGTCACGCCAAGAGAAAAACAGTTGAACTCGCATCACAGTTTCCGAAGTATTCCCTTTCTTTTCATTTGGCAACAGAGGACTTCTACATCAACTTTAAATGACTTCTAGCAAAAACCAAAAATAACGGCTGTAGTGAATCATAATATCAGTGATTTTGTCAAATTATCTTATCAAAAAATAGTAGAAATTCTCATTACTGATCCAAACCAAACGTATCCCATGACCATTTAATGCTCGCTGCGTGTTTATGATGATTTCTTCAATTTTATTTTATATTTCATTGCAATACCTTTCGTGGACCTTTTATAGCATCGTAATGTTTATTTACTTTGCACGATAGGTAGCCGATTTGACAGTTCAATAGGTAGACTTGGCTTCACTCTTGGCGTGACTCATTATACACCGACTCTAGTTTTAACATCTATTAAATTTTTTACACATGCTAGTAATTGGTTCGTTTGCACCATAGTTTGTGCGAGAAGTCGGGGTCGTAAAGAAAGAGTGGGTTCGCACTCGTCGCATATTAATGTTAAGCTGTTGCAAAAGTGGACAACAGTCAATGTCCGAACACAGGAGATCGGCGATGAAGACAACCTTAGCGACATCATGGCGAACACTGAGAAGTTGTAGGCTCAGCAAGTTACATTGACTTCCACAATTCGGGAGGTTTACAGGGTCTTTCCAGGGTAGCCTACGAAGAGCATAGCGAACAAATTTCCTCTGAATAGCCTCAAGTCGATTCGTTGCATTGTTGAAAAAGCACTTTTGATGTTTAAGTTAATCAGCAAGAGTGGTTGGTTATGTAGAAGCCATCAAATGAGTAATATATTCACTTTATTGGCTTTGTTTTGCAGCTACAAGTTGTTAGTTGATTAATATTTGCATAGAAGTGACATTAGAGTTTATTGACTGCTTTTATTCAGTGCGACTGATGAGTTGAATAATGGTTGTTGATTAATCACAATGAAATATTATGACAGAGCACGGACTTGAGGTTACTAGAGCATTGAATAGTCTAGGTCTTACATCTAGAGTATTGAATAATCTAGGATTACATCAGAAAAATCCAAATCTGGCCAACGCCCACCACTTCGGCCATCAATCTAAATATGCCCTAAAAAGGGAATTGTAAAATGTTTAAACAAAGAAAAACGAAAATAAAAATAAATTATTCAATCAACCAAAGATGAAGAGCTCTTCAGGCTAAATCAATTGAAATATATCCGGAGAACTTTGAGATTTGGGCGTAATTGCTTTTGTAAACAAACACATGTATCTCCGATTTCTCGTAAATTGAAACTCAATCTCGCGAACAAACCACATCAAATAAAAGAGGAATCATGTAAACCTGTTTGTGCCGTTAATTTTTTAGATTGAGCTTTAATTTGCGAGAAATCGATTGTCGTGTTTGTTTACAAAAACAATAACGCCCTAATCTCAAAGTTCTCCAGATATGATCAAATGTAAATATCATCATATCAATGGAAATAAAACGTAATTTTACTACTATTACTTCATGCTGAGAGCATTCTTGTGATGAGCTGCAACAGCAGATTGGAAACAGAACAGCCGAGAGTACTGTATCACTAATTCGTGTAGCCTCCGTCCGGTCACGACAATGACTGGTACACCCTAGTGCTGGGTTTCAAACTCTTTGTGCAAAGATATTAGTTGAAAATGCGCCAAAATGTATGCAATGAACTTAAAGAATAATCCAATGACGTGATATATCTACGCCAAACTGACAAACCCCAATTTCAATCCACATTTACAATATCTTCCGAAGAAAAAAAAATCTGAGACACTCTCACATTAAAGCACATAAAATTCCTCATTAAGGTACACCGGTTCGACGGAATGCCATGCAACACATCGGTTGCATCACCCTCTTTCGCCAAATGAGATCACGTTGCCGCCCCCTCAATGTACGGCTGAATATCGTCTATGTCCACCAGCCGGGTAGCCTCAATCTCTTCCCCGCACATTGTACACTGGTTTTCCGTAGTTTCCAAAATTCTGGAACAAATGAAAGTAGTTGTTTAGAGTACAGCTGGAAACAGATTACAATTTATACTCATACTTCATCATTTCCACTTTCAACGCAGGAAAATCACACTCCGGGCAGGCTGCCACATCCTCCTTCACGATGTGTTGGCCCTGGAAAACAAAAAGAAACGATATTTACCAATCCTCCAAACCTAAATGACCCCATCCCCCTCAAACCCACCGTAGCAATACAGATCGGAAGTGTCGTCTTGCACTGACCGCAGATGAAATCCATCGTGGGCAGGTTCGATTCACACACCGGACACGGACTGGATTCATATGCTCCTTCGTCTTCCAGCTGGCCACGCGGTGCCTTCCGTACGATCGATTCGATCTTCTTGCCGTACTTCGGATCAATCTGACCGCGGAACTCCGATCGCATCAGCATGACCGCATACTCAAAGGCCGACTTACGCAGCCCGGTCCGATGGCACTCGATCACCGTGGAGGTTAGGATTGGGACGACGTCTAAAACGGAAACAAATCAGTTTGAGATTCAAATGAAATTCAGCTCGTGGTGCCACTTACGGGACGGAAACTGTGAGATGTTCTTGGCCACTTGGAGCAGTAACCGAGCAGCCTGCAGGTGATTACCACGTTTGACGTGCGTCCTCACCAACGTATACCGATGGAGCAGTGTCAGTGAAGCTTTCATATCTGACGCTATCGTAAGATTGTTCCTCTTAAGTTCCTGGTACATGGAGAACAGCAGGTCGTGAGCACTTCTATAATTACCGGCTATCTGTTCCTGATTGGCAATGATCATTGCTGCCTTAGCAGCTTCCTTGAACTGTCTCTTGGCCATATATAGACGGAACAGAAGTTTTGGATCCTTTGGAACACCGTCAGTCTCTCCGAGCAAATACTCAATCAGCTGGTTGGAAAGCTTTTCGTCATTTGCTGACGCCACGCAGTCGATCGCTAGCGAAAGAGCTGAATTTTCTTCGTTGCTAAACGATGAAGCTTTCAACAGGTGCTTCAAAGCCTTCGAGTATTCCTTCCCTAGGAAGTAGTACTTCCCAGCTAGGAGCGTATACTTTTCGTTTTCAAAATACGTAGCCAGTACAAGGTAATCGCTAGGCTTAGCACTGGAACTCTGCTCCAAGACTTCACCGTAGTAGCGGATCTTGTTTTGCTTTTGTGCGATTGCAAATGCATCCGAAATGGAACCACAAAGCACCAGAAACTGTATCGCCGATTCGTAGTCACCGTGTTGTTCGAAATATTTCGACAGCAGTTTTGATCCCTCGACAGATCGCGTCTCCAAGAGGATCTCCGAGGCACTGTGAGGATCGGAGAGGTAGTCCAGGTATATCCGGACAACGCTATCGAGGTCCCCCGCCAGCTGGTAACTGTTGATAGCTTCCGCATAGTGTCCTTCCGCTTCCTTCGCTTTGGCATAGGCTGCATGCAGCTTAAGACTAGTAACATGCGGTAGAATGTGATCGACCTTTTTCCATTGCTTGAGGGTAATGTACAACTCACAGCACTTGTCCCAGTTTTCACCTTTTTCCAGCAGTACAGCCGCTTCATTGAGGTTCCCATTGGCCATCAGAGCTTCCCCGCAGTCGTTAAATAGCTCTTTGTCGTTCAACTCCAGCGCAAGTTGAACGCCTCTTCGGTAGTCTCCACATTTAACGCTAGTACGGGCGATGCCTGCCTTACAAAGGCTTACGTGCTGTTCAAGAACTTCCTGCTCAATTACGCCATCCGAGCCGGGTAGAATATCACTTTTGAGACCCCGCTCAAAGTTCATCAACGCTTCTGCATAGCTCCCGCTGAAATTCAAAACTTAGATACTTAGATTCTGCACCACCTAGATCAACACTTCAAAAGATTGCTTACGTAAACTCCAACTGCTGAGCGTACTCCCGGGCCAGGAATGGTAACTGCTCGGGAGCAAGCGACCCGGCCAGAGCCATCGCTTGCTCCCACTGCAGCAGATCTCGGCACAACTCAAGAGCTTCCTGTGGGTTTCCACTCTTGGCGAACAGTGTCTTTGCTTCGTCGATCTTATCCAGTAATAAGGCACAGAAACCGGCTAGGCTGTTGGTGTCCTCTATTTGTACTATATCCTCCAGTGCGTACACCATTGCTACGTTCCCAATATTGCGGTAGACCTTGATGGCTACGAATCAGTTCACGTGAGAATTTTCGTTAACTCGTTCACAATAAGCAAACCACTTACCGAACACGACATTCAAATCCTCTATGGCCGATCGTCCCAGTTGCTTCCATTCCTCCTCGTCATTCATCAAATTGCACAACTCCCAAGCTTCATTGTACTTCCTCATCAATCTCACGGACCGCAACTGTTCCTTCGCATCTCTGCCGGGCTTGTTCGCGTGGGTATCCAAAACTATAGTCGTCAACCGGCCGCCACTCCCGTGAAGACACAACTCTCCATCGTACAGCAGCAACGGCATCTGATCGCTTATCAAACTGGTAACTCCAACTTTCTCGACCCTCTTACCCTGCACCGAAGCCCTCACCAAAGCGTACGTCACACAGCTACTCCGATCGAATGCTATGAACACCGTCGAATGGGAAAAGTCCCACAAAACTCCAACCACATGCTTCGGAAACTCGGGAATCCGTATGGTCTCCTCGGTCGCCGAAATGTACACATAGCCATGGTTGTGATCGTCGATGAACACCAACCGCGTTCCGTCCAGGTCCGAATGAAGGGCTTTAATACCTACCTGATGTCGAAATTGAACTACCGTTGACCAGCGTTCCAAGGAAAAGTGAACGACATTTCCAAGCTGTCAGAAAAAACAGTCCACTAAGATCAAACACAGAAGATCCAACAAAGTTCGTTACTTACATCCGAGGCGAAACAGAGGAATTCATTGGTCAGAGCTATACAGGTGATCACCGACTCGGCCATTCCCCGGACTTCGTCCGGAAACATCTTCGGTTCCCGGTTCAGGGTCGCCTCGTTCGTAGATTCGATCTGAATAATACATACGTTAAACCAGATTCCAAAGCTTCTTCCAGAGTAACTCACCGAATGAAGCATGATCTGCCCTCCGCAAAGAACTGCGCAGTACTCGGAGCTCAAAGCCACTTCCTTGATCTCCGACATGTACTCTCGATCGCCCAACAGCAGCGGACTGTCGTTCAACGTCCGCCCCAGGTCATAGAACCAGACGTGATTGTTCATTCCGCATGCCAAGTGGTACGGTCCCACCGCTAGAAAGGAAGGTTCAATCTCCAGAGTGATCGTCGTCGGAGCCGACTTGACCTTGTCCGGAGCGTAGTGATGAATGGCGACTTCCGCCAAGCTGGACAGCAACGCTATCCGAGGCGGTGATATCGCATAGAGCGAGTGCAGCTTAGTCACAAATACGCAAATTGCACCCTGAGATGTGGTCACTCCCAGCAGCTGCCCGTCGGAGCTCCACTCAATGTTCTTCAGGCCTGCTTGATCGTGTAGGGTTAGGATTTTGACCGTTTCTTGAAGGTTGCTCATCGAGTGGATTTTGATGCTGGAAGATTCAGAATTGAGTGAAAGGTTTCTTATGATACAAGATCTGCGTTTACTCACTTATTATCGCCGCATGACGCGACAAGTTCAAGTTCCTTACAGACGGCAATACTGTTCAAGGAATCTCTGTGATTTTTAACTTGCCACATTTCTTGCCCTACCTCTCTGGGATGTGTTGATATCGCTACCACGTGACCTAAGCTGAAGCCCAACAATATATAGCCATCTCCGAACCACTTATGCTGCAACAGCGAGCCGTAACGTTGCTGAAATCCAAGTTCCGTCGGAGAATCCGGCTCCGGTAGATGGTACAAGAACAGCGTCCTTTTTCCAAGGATCATACTTATCGTATTCTCACCTGGAACTCGCTCATCTGTCTTCATCTCGGCAAAGTGCATATCACTGGGATTGTCCCGCAGTTGAACCGACCTCACCGTATTGCCTTCCTCGGAACTCAATGAGAGGTACTTATCCTCGCTTCCCAACGCTAGGACATGTTCCGTAGACCAGGCCCCGCAAGTTATCCGCTTGGTATGCTTGCCCAGGATGGGAATCCTCTTCGTCGTTGCATGATTGTAGATCGAGAGGTTACCTCTGGAAGTGGCCACTGCCAGCAATGATCCACGTTTGGACCATACGATACAGCTCGGTGGGTCCCGCAGACCTATGTCAACGTGCTGCTTCTTTTGAGAGTTGGAATCCCACAGGATGAGCTGTGGTGAGCTCTGGGTGATTACTGCCAGGACGTCTCCATCTTTGTCCCAGGCAAATCCCGCGCAAAGACTGAAATTGATGTAATTTTGGAATTCTATTACTAGCTCAATGACGTCAAAGTCCAACGACAGTGCGGGTGTACCATGAAGCAGCAAACTGCCAACGTTGTTATCAGATTACCCAAATTCTCTCACCAGATTCTATTTGTAATGAGCCGATGGAAATAATGTCTGCGCTTATTGGCCATCAAATGTCACTACTGTTGTTTGTGACGACATCTATCGGAAATTACACATAAACTGCTTTCCGTTAGTTGTTAACAAAGGACCTCGTAAAGGACAGTGCAGTCTGCAATCTTAGAAATCCTTTTCACAAACTACACAATAGAGTACCTGACACTGCACTGGTACCTCCATATATGCATTTAGATTCACATTCGAAGTCCCTAATTTTTGGCACCCTCAAATCGGCTCTGCTTGTTTTCTGACAAACATCAGTTTGATCGTTTGTTTTTTAAACCTACCTCAGGATGAGGTTCGCACTGACAAAAAGTTCGTTTTCACACTGGGTTAGAACCGTTGGAACTGGTTCCAACCCCGATAATAAACAAATTAGCTATTAGTAGTAAGGCTGGAAGCAAAGTGTAGGGAAAGGAACTGTTTTATTGATTTTACAGTAAATTAACAGATAAATTTTAAAGTATAAGTTCCAAAGAAGGTTGGTATTTACTATCTCTATGTACTTGGACACGTGAATTCTTGATTACTGCTTGTATGTCAATAATTGATTTTATCTCTTCTCCCATACTGAATTTCAACTATGCCTACCAAAGAAACAGCGCCATCTCTGGGAATATTCTTTACGGGAATCACTTAATTGACATTTTTAAAACTCGCACATTACTCCCACTGACATTCACTAAAGTAAAAGTACCTTGAACGTACTCTGAACATTACCTTGAACCAAACTTAATCCACTTATCGATCGATAAACCCCGTCCCGCCATCACTCACCCCTGCAGTACAATCCTCTCCATCAGCAGCCCTTGCCGATTGAAAACGGCCACCGTCCCATCGCTCCCGGTGGTGGCCATCAGTTGGGCCGAACCACCCGTCTGCCACAGGAAGTACACATCGCCCTGACCGTGCGGTTCCTCGTTTCGATAGAGAACCTAAAATTCAAACCCCCAATCAATGTGCGTCTTCGAACTTCTTTCCCACAACGAAAACGGAACGCAACCAAAAACTAACGGAAATCAGCAATTACCTACCTTATCCCCGCTCATCGCGTTGTCTGTTGCGTTTTATGCTCACTTTGCACCGGGATCAGCCTAAATCGAGTTCATTTTTCCACCAATTTCGCCAACTTGAATCAATTTCTCACTTATAAATCTGCCACTGTTTCGTCGTCCCGCAAAGGGAGGAATCTGTTCTGACGAGTAATGAAAATTTTCTGTTTACCGCTTTCCACAGTGACAGGTTGCTATGGTTGCGGAGAACAAAAAATAGCATCGAAGCATAAAACCTTCACTCTGACTGGACAGCAAACAGAGCAGCAACATAAAACGAGAACGAGCATAAAAAATATACAACCGTGCAGATCGCTCTACGCAACAGGTGGTGTGTCGATGTGTGAGTGTGGAAGTTTCTCCTGATGTGCATCGAAGACACTATTTGGGATGGGTTGCTTTTGACAGGTACGATCAGTAGCATACAATGTTGCCAGAGACTTCACTGGTTTTACAAGGTTTTACAAACAGATAAATATTACGCATTTCCCACCATACTGGACAAATAGCGCGTTTTCACTTATTAAAAAGTGTGATAAAAGTGCACGTTTATGTCAAATCGTTTTGTTGTCTTCGGTGCACTTATTCCTTATGGAGCAAGAAATAAGTGCTCCGAAGACAACAACATGATTTGACGTAAACGTGCCCTTTTATCACACTTTTTGCATTTTTGGAGCAGTCCAGTTTTAGTTGCAACCAACAATAAATATGGATCTTGATTCGAGTCAAGATAATATTGCGCATTTCACACCAAACGCGTTTTCACAGTGTGAGTTTTCATATAAACGTCAATCCTTATGATGCAAGCAATAAGTGCTCCAAAGACACCAACATTATTTGGCGGAAACGTGCACTTTTATCAACAATCAATACGAAACTAACGATTTTAAATTGGCTCACTACTTGACTAGCCTATTGGTCCCAAGCAAACGATTAACGTACCCCATTCATACCCCATGTTTGTTTTGATTCGCTATGAAAGTTTGACAGATAAAATGAGGGGTTATTGGTTTTTCCTATGTTTCGAGGGGTGAATCGATTAGCTTGAGACCGAAGAGAGTACCAGAGCTGAGCCAAAAAGTTGAGCACGTTATTTCGGGACCTTCTGGTCTTAGAGTTACCTCTATGCTTTTATCACACTTTTGGAATTTTTGGGTTTTATTCAACTTCAAATGAAAATTAGTTAGAAATCAGGGGAAACATGTCAGAAGGGTATAACTCGAAACGTTAAAGGCCGGCGCACAATAGATACGTTTTCGGGTTTTTTGACAGTTAGCCCATGCATTATCTGTCAAAAAACCCGAAAACGTATCTATTGTTCGCCAGCCTTAACAATGACTTTGAACGTCGATTTCTCTTGAATGACCACACACCCACGGAATCAGACTACACCAGGGACTACACCAGTTTATAGGCGAATCCAGTAGAAACTAAGCGATCGTTTCAGCCTCTGGTGGTGAATAGGGTAACGATCAAAAGAGTTATGAGGGTGGAAATGTTCACCGTGAAGCATAGGAAGAGGACAATATTTTCACCGCAGGTGCTTGAAATTGTAACCGTTTGGTCACAAATTCATAGGTTTTTGTCATTTATGTTATATATTCAGAACCTTCACGTTTCTTGTGCAAAAACAGCAGTATACCACAGAAGTGATAGGGTTCTGTACCGCTGTGAAAATGTTGTGCCGTTACGTTATGTCCACCATAGAGCTACAAACAACTATACAAAATAAGGCTGACGGGATGCAGGAAAATTGGGAGAAAGAACGGCCATTGCCCAAAATCGGCCTCTTTCAATATCAGGCGTCCGTGTGCTAAGACGCATTTCAATTAGCTAAGTGCAGTGGTTGGTGTTTTGAACGATAACCAGGAGACCCCCCCCCCCTAGCAGTAGCTAGTGTCGCTAGGGAAATTTAATGTTCAGGTTACTAAATACCCTGCACCAAAAACCGTAGATTAATTACGTATTCGTCCGATAGGACCTCTTTTTTAATATTGGACCTTAAAAAGGTCATCCGTCAGCACAAGGCCGGCTCGAGAAATATTGGAAACAGTTTCCGCGCCTAATTGTTAAGGACCGAAACACTACTATTTGGCCAAACGTAGGCTATAATCGCTAAGGAGTTTTCCCTTCTCGGCTTGACCAAGGTGGCCTTACCACGGTCGACCGATCGTGCCAACGAAGGACGACGCCTGCCATCCCATCGTCCAGCAACGCCCACTGTCCCGTCATCCGCTCGCTTCGCCAATCTGGTGAGAGTTCCGGCCGCACAGTAGGACAGGAGTCACTGTGTCGGCCTTCCCGATTCACCATCAACGGCAGCAGCGGTATGTACCGGTACAGCGAACCACGCGATTAGGCTACACGACACATATTACACGAAATTATGAACACAGAACAACACGCACATAATACTGAAAGTGGCGAATAAATGCGTTTAAAGAAAAGAGAGAGAGTCAGGAGAGTTCTTCGTTTTTGTATCGCAAAACCCTCTGATTACCCGGTAGCTAGCTGACCCTGGGTATTCCGGAGCTTGCTCTTGTCGCCTGAGTCGACCGGGTGCTGTATGTTTGATCTCCGAGTAGGTAGTTGGTGAGTGCTGAGCTCTTACAGATGAGATTACACGGATAGAAATCTCCTTATACCTTTTGGCAAATTTCTATTGCTGATTATTCATAAAATGTATAAAACAACTAATTAATTATATGATTTGAGTAGTAGCTATTATGAAGATCCGAGAGATGTCGCCCCTTCAGTGGTAGGAAAATCTTTTTTGCAGTATGGAGAATATCAGAAAATCCACGATTTGTGACTAAACATCCTTTCACAGAAGGAAACAAATAAACGAGAGTTGGTTGGAAATGCTAACATGAAGCTTTAGTGTGATGATTTATTAGCTAGAGAATGATCTTTAGAAGAGGGTAGGTGGCCTGGTAGGTGGATAGTTCCGTTAAACCCTGGACAGACTATGGCTTATATCATGTAATATAGGCTGTCTTGCAATGAGCACTCATACATCTAGTTTTCACTGGAAATCCTATGTATGAGTGCTCATTTCAAGACAGCCTATATTACATGATATAAGCCATAGTCTGTCCAGGGTATTAGAGTACGGCAGTATGAAAATTGAATAGAAGTTTAAAATGAGCGAAGGGCCATTAATGCGTCAGTTTTTCAAGATAGACGCACATTTTTGCCTAACCCGTACGATGTACGCGGGGACTTGAAGTATGTCTCCAAGTCCACAGGCAAAAATGTGCGTCCCTCTTTTTGCTCATAAACTAACTGCGGCTGTGGAATAGTTCTAACGACGTTTTCATCACTACCTAAAGCCCCACGTTGCGAGAGCATTTCCAGTCGATGGTGTGTTATAATGCAGTTCTTCTTTACCCAACTATTGTGTTGTTCCTCTCGTCATGACCAACGTGATCATCTCAGAGAGAAAGCAGTAGGGTGATTGTTGCGTGCTGTACCATCATCAGCATTGTTGACGGCTACTCCCGCCTTGAGTTGTTACATTCAAAGTGTTTTTTATATTACTTCATACGCGAAGTTAACGATTTTCAGAGTTGGTTGGAAATGCTAACATGAAGCCAGGATCAAATTCAATGTCTTAATTATTCAATTGTAAGTTATAAAAGTATATTTTTCAATTATTATATATCTTTTGTTTTATGAATAACCATATATTATTCTTTGATCTCGTGGACACTTCAAATTCCTATATTTGTTTTCTTCAACTGAACATCTTTTTCGGGATATTATGCTCAGGTACTTGGCTACACCTTCCGACTCGAGATCGTTCAACGAGAAGATTGAGCATCACCAGCTGAGACACGACTTTCCAACGACTCGGTTACTCAGTAGATCGTTTTGGTGATGGTAACAATCACCAGATGCGATGATGGAAGCGCTGTGGAGACAGTAGAAAACGTATTTAGGGCAAAAATTATAAATTCAGTACATTACATTACATACCAATACACGGCTGGACTTGGTGATTGCCTTCTCCTGTATTTACATTTGGCACACTCTTCCGTATGATTGGGCATTGGTGAGATCTTCCTCATCTCGAAACAGATGATTCCACAGATGGTCAAATCGTGAGAACACTCCTTTATCCTCTCGATTCCCTTCTTGTCCGGTTAGGCGACTGCCGGGAATAACCAGTGGAAGCAAAACAAAACTTTTACGGGCGTATTTCATCTCCATACAAATAAGTAAACACTCCGTGAATAATTGTTTTTCACCTCCTGGTTTGCGCGTTTTTCTGTGAGTCACAAAAAGAACAAACATTGTTGTAATAAAAATAATTCACTTTCAAATTGAAAATTCCTCAAAGTTCATAGTTTCAACAACGAATATTTTCAAAACGAAGCTATTTTTTTTGGTTTGAAAGTTTTTCGTTCACTTATAACTCGTAATTTTAAAAGTGCATTTTTTTTAAATGAAAATTGGTTTACTGTCAAAAATACCTCTAAACACCAACACTTTTGGCAGCACTGAAATTTTGCCGCTAAATTTTAAGATAAAACATGCAAAACAAAACAGAAGCAGCAGCAGTAGTGTCATATCAATCCACTTCCCAAACATAGATTCTGCCCGTCCCTAAAATTGGCTTCCGGTTTTAAATTTCCGTGAATGGTTTTGAAAAGTTGGATCAAATCAAATAGGCCCTACTCGACGAACCAGTAAGTGTTTTTTTTTATATTTTTAAATAACCTTTATAAATGCTTACTTCTTTTGCTGTTTACAGTATTACCATAGAGGTAACTCTAAGACTAGAAGGTCCCGAAATAACGTGCTCAACTTTTTGGCTCAGCTCTGGTACTCTCTTCAGTCCCAAGCTAATGATTCACCCCTCGAAACATAGGAAAAACCAATAACCCCTCATTTTATCTGTCAAACTTTCATAGCGAATCAAAACAAACATTGTTTAGTACTAGAATTTCGACTAGAATAGGGTACGTTAATCGTTTGCTTGGGACCAATAGGCTAGTCAAGTGGTGAGCCAATTTAAAATCGTTAGTTTCGTATTGATTGTTGGTATTACCATAGAGGTAACTCTAAGACCACTGGGTCCCGAAGAAAATCATTATTATTTTTGGCTCACTCAGTACCAGAACAACGGTCCCAAGCAGTCCCAAGCTATTTCACTCACCCCTGCATGATCTGCATGAATCCACACACCCCTGATGTTATCTGTCAAACTTTCATAGCGAATCAAAACAAACATAGTGTAGTAATAGAATTTCAACTAAAATAGGGTACGTTAATCGTTTGCTTGGGACCAATAGGCTACTAAAGTGGTGAGCCAATTTAAAATCGTTAGTTTCGTATTGATTGTTGGTATTACCTCAAAACGACCCAAAATCAACGTTTCTTGGTTCGCACCATCTGCTGGCCAAAGTTGGCCTGGAACCGTTCATATTATCCCAAGATACCACGATCGAGTGCCGCACCGATTGAACTTTAGCAATCAAGCCTTTGCCGGATTCGTTTCCCAGATTTAACTGTTCCTCGGACTGTACAATGTGCATCATATTTACTGTAGGTGTAATCTATTTTCTCAATGATTTTGAATTATAGACCCTTCAACTTGTTCACAGGTTACGAAGATTATCAATCTTCAAGGAAACCAGAGAGCTGGCCTGGAGACTACTGGCAGAGATAAAAGCAATGCTTACAGTGTGCCAAATGCATGATATCTAACGATCCAAAACCGTTGATACATACTGTCTTAGTTCATCAGTTCATCACGAGCCATGATTTGATATCATAATAAAAATAATAAATATATAATATTGAATAATAAAAAAGAACTCTACATGTCATACTGACAATGCTGGTATTTAAAATGAAAATATTTTAATTGTTCAATTCAAAGTGAAAAAGATCATTTCAATTAGACCACACTTTCATGATAAAAGTTTGTTTTGAATTTAAAATAATCCACTTTTTATTGCAACACTGCCATGCTTTTGTTTTGACAGAAGTACAATTCGTTTTGAAAGTTTGAACTTTTAAAAGTAGGGAGCGGTTAACTTTTGAATTGATAGTAGGCGAAATTTTATTTTAAATTCTAAAGACTTTCTACCAAAAAGAACCAACGCAAACTTTTAATTCTACCAATGGTTTTTTAATTTTATTAACGATTTTTTTTTTGTGTAAATAACGTTATTCTAAAGCTATCCAGAAATGAGTAAAAATCTACTGCAGAAGAAGTTATTTTGACATTTAAACAATTTTTGATTTGAAAATTTGCACTTTTACAACCACAAGTTAAAATCAAAACATCTACTTTTGAATTGAAAATTCCCTTGTTATTTTAAACATTTTCATTGTTGAAGAAACGAATTTTTGGGTATGTACTATTAAATTGAAAGTCAATATTTTTATTGATACAATTTTCGTTTTTTGTGTGTACGAACAGGCCGCCATTACCGAGCAGGGAAAGCTGGATATCGTTGGGTCGAATCTCTCGTTCCTTTTTTTGACAGCAATAACGAGTGCAAGTGAGAGGCGCAACTCAAAATTAATGTCGTTTTCGTTTTTGCGGTGTAGCACTGGTGTAGTGTAAGCAGGAATAAGCGCGAGTCTTTGACAGCTCAACATCAGTTGTTTGTAAACAAAGGTGCATCCTATATCTACAACTTAAAATATTTCGGTGTACGGCAGTGTAGCACCGGTGTAGCTACACCGCAAAAACGAAAACGACATAAGTAAAACGAAACTTAGATTTTGGATTGTATTTTTTCTCCGTGTATAGCATCCACCAGAATTAACTTGTCGTAGTTCAGTCTGGCAGCACGGGCAGCACTGCTACTTCGTGCTTTCGCGATTCTCCGAACAGCTGTCAAAGCTCGGTCAATCCGTCAATCGATCCCTGATCAGCTTCAGCGTGTTTGTGGTCTGGTTGGCACTCTCTGCTCGGTGCTCTGCTGGTTTTTTTTTTATCTTGTAGCTGCTCATCAGTGCAGATCGTCGGAAAAAAAAGCCGTGTCAAGTGCAAATTTCCCCGATAAGAAATAGTGTTCTGATTAACGAACAACCATGTCCGATCCGGTGGAAAACGGTACCGCTGCAGCAGCCTTAGCCGAAGAAGCTCCGGTCAAAACGGAAAAGCAGCTCAAAAAGGAAGCGGAAAAGGCAGCCAAACTGGCCAAATTGCAGGAAAAGATGAACAAAAAACATCAGCAGGCAGAACAGGCCGCCGTTAAGCCCAAGGTCGAGGTGAGTCATCTTCCCTTGCCAGGATGCAAGCAATATTCCTGAAAATTGCATCAGATAGTTTCGTTCTAACCTCCGCCCGACCAGCAATGCATTGCGCATTATTCGGATGGTGGGGGTTTTTCGCACGAACGAAATAGTGAAAGTAACTACCTACATAATTTAAAATCGCCTTTTTCTTCTTATCTGCGCCACGCTGGACAACAATAGAAAAAAGTGAAGGAAACGAAAGAGGCCATCGTTTATACGGGCAACACCCAGGAGGGTGAGAGGAAAGACTTGTCGACTCCGTTCCCGGATGCGTACAGCCCGCAGTATGTGGAAGCCGCCTGGTACAGCTGGTGGGAGAAGGAAGGCTTCTTCAAACCGGAATACGGGGTGAGTTGGTTTTGATTCAGTGTCACCTTTTGAAAGGATTTTAATAATTTGTGTTTCGTGTAGCGCAAGGAGAACAATTCCAAGGGTCAGTTTGTGATGGTTATCCCACCACCGAATGTGACCGGTTCTTTGCATTTGGGTCACGCACTGACCAACGCGATTGAGGACTGTATCACGCGGTGGAATAGGATGAAGGGCCGCACTACGCTGTGGGTTCCAGGGTGCGATCATGCCGGCATTGCCACCCAGGTCGTAGTCGAGAAGAAGTTGTGGCGAGAGCAGAAGCTGACCCGCCACGATCTGGGACGGGAGAAGTTCATCGAGAAGATTTGGCAGTGGCGTAACGAGAAGGGCGATCGGATCTACCATCAGCTGAAGAGGTTGGGTTCGTCGTACGATTGGACCCGGGCGTGCTTCACGATGGATCCGAAACTGTGCAAGGCTGTTACGGAAGCGTTCGTGCAGCTACACGAACGAGGTATGATCTACAGGAGCAATCGATTGGGCAATTGGTCCTGTGCGCTGCGATCGGCCATCTCAGACATCGAGGTGGATAAGGTTGAAATTCCAGGACGGACACTGCTAGCCATTCCCGGCTACACCGAGAAGGTTGAGTTTGGCGTTTTGGTTTCCTTTGCCTACAAGGTGGAAGGCAGCGACGAAGAGATCGTTGTGGCGACTACCCGTGTGGAGACCATGCTGGGAGACACGGCCGTTGCCGTGCACCCAAAAGACGATCGCTACAAGCACTTGCATGGCAAATTCGTCGTTCATCCATTCTGCGATCGAAAGCTGCCGATTGTGTGTGATGATTTCGTCGAAATGGGCTTCGGAACGGGAGCCGTCAAGATCACGCCAGCTCACGATCCGAACGATTACGAAGTCGGCAAGCGGCACAATCTGCCGTTCATTACGATTTTTACCGATGAAGGTTTCATCACTGGGGAGTACGGTGAGTTCACCGGAATGAAGCGATTCGATGCCAGAAAAGCAATCCTGACTGCCCTCCAAGCGAAGGGTTTGTACAAGGAAACCGTTGATAATCCGATGGTCGTACCGATTTGTTCCCGCTCGAAGGATGTCGTTGAACCGCTGATCAAGCCCCAATGGTACGTCAAGTGCGACGAAATGGCCAAGAACGCTACGGAAGCCGTTCGTTCCGGAGAGCTGAAGATCACTCCGGAAGTGCACAAGAAGACCTGGTATCACTGGATGGATGAAATCCGCGATTGGTGCGTTTCCCGTCAACTCTGGTGGGGACACCGAATTCCAGCCTACCAGGCTTCGTTCAAGGATCCTAGCCAGAAACCGGCCAATCTGGGCGAGGAGTCTCTCTGGTTCGTCGGACGTACCGAGGAGGAAGCTTTGGAGAAGGCAGCCAAGGAGTTGAACGTTCCCAAGGAGTCACTCGCTCTTAAGCAGGACGAAGACGTACTGGATACCTGGTTCAGCTCCGGTCTGTTCCCATTCTCCGTTTTCGGCTGGCCGGACAACACCGATGATCTGAAGCTTTTCTATCCGACGTCCCTGCTGGAAACCGGTCACGATATTCTGTTCTTCTGGGTCGCCCGTATGGTGTTCTTCGGACAGGCTCTGCTCGGAAAGCTTCCGTTCCGGGAGGTGTTCCTTCATCCGATGGTTCGCGATGCCCACGGACGCAAGATGTCCAAATCGCTCGGAAATGTCATCGATCCGATGGATGTTATAACCGGCATCTCGCTGGAGGGCCTGCACCTGCAGCTGCAGGATTCCAACCTAGACCCGAGGGAGATCGAGAAGGCCCAGGCCGGCCAGAAGCAGGACTACCCGAACGGTATCCCGGAGTGTGGAACGGACGCAATGCGGTTTGCTCTGTGCGCCTACAACACCCAGGGACGGGACATCAACTTGGACATTATGCGTGTCCAGGGCTATCGGTTCTTCTGCAACAAGCTGTGGAATGCGACCAAGTTTGCGCTGATGTACTTCACCGGAGAGGAGCGGTACGACGTGCTGCCGGACAAGGTAAACATGACACACTGCACTTTGAAGTTTATACAACACTCATAATAATTTTATCGTCTCTCCACAGACCGGCTTCGAGAGCAACATCGAGCGCTGGATCCTGTCCCGGATGGCCAACTGCATCGACGTGTCCAACAAGGGCTTCGAGAAGTACGAATTTGCCCAAACCACCAGCGCGTGCTACGACTTTTGGCTGTACGACCTGTGCGACGTCTATCTGGAGTGCTTGAAGCCGGTGTTCCAGTCCGGAACCGAGGAAGCTAAGGCCTCCGCCAGGAAGACGCTCTACACTTGCTTGAACATTGGTCTGAAGCTCCTATCGCCCTTCATGCCTTTCATCACCGAGGAGCTGTACCAGCGGTTACCGCGTGCCGATGTGGACCAGGTGGCCAGTATTTGCGTGGCTCCCTACCCGGAACTGGAATCATGTAACTGGCACAACGAGCAGCTCGAAAAGGACTTTGAGTTTGTGCAGCGTGTGGCCAAGGTCATCCGGTCGGCCCGGAGCGACTACAATCTGCCGAACAAGATGAAGACGGAAGCGTTCGTCCTGTGCAGCGACGATTCCACCAAGGATACGCTGGAGAGTTTCATCGGGGATCTGACGACCATGTCCTACTCACAGATCAATCTCATCAGCGAAGCACCGCCGGCGGGTTGTGCTATCCTGACCGTTTCCGGTGCTTGCGTTGTGCATCTGATGCTCAAGGGACTGATCGAGGTTGACAAGGAAGTAGAAAAGCTTAGCAAGAAGAAGGAGAACCTAAGCTCAACCGTTGGTAAGCTGGAACAAGCGATCGGAGCGGCCGACTACGATAACAAGGTTCCGGAGGAAGTTCGGAAGAACAACCAGGAGAAGCTGGACCAATCCAAGATCGAAATCGAACGTATCATTGCAGCAATAGAAACCCTAAAGATGATGTAAGGCATATTTCGAGTGTCTCTATCGGAAAAAACGGAACATTTCACTTTAAAAGCATTTTTGTGTTTAGGCTACCGAGTGCTTTAAAAAATAACTTTTGCATCAGTTTAAGCAGAAGAAGTAGTAATTTATTGCCACTAAATACTATAATAAAACGTCAGCGTTGCGATTTTACACACGTACACAGATTAAATAAAAAATATCAACACAGTTGGAATAAATTAAGCAAGCAAAAGCGTGCAAATGTTTGATTATTTCTGCTCCAGGCATTCTTCGGCATTGTCGATCGAGTCCTCTTTCGCTTCCTGGGCGTCGGAAATGCCCGGTGCTGTGGCGGCAGCTGGTTCTGAGCTCGCATCACTTTCCTGACACTCCCGAGCGCTTTCCACCTTGTCACTTTCTTCGGCACTGGCCACGACTTCCAGCGCTTGGTCGGCAGCACCGACGTCTTCGTCGCCGATAACGATCTCCTCCGGATCGGGAGCTCGCGGCAGGAACTCCTCGTCCGGGTAGATATCCTTAAAGATCGACCGTGCTCGCGCTATGCTTTCATCGTAGTCCAACTCGTAAAGCGGACCGCAGGCCAGATGGATTCCTTCCGGCAGGGAGCCGGACGGATGCTGGCACGCGACGCATTTCGGAATGTTGAAGTACAATTCGTAGAGGATTGTTGATACGTTATTCTCCGGTGCTTCATTGTCTTCCGCAAGCTCTTCCGGAGGTATGAAATAATCTTTTGATAGAATCTGCGACACGTAGGGTTCCAAATCTGCCCTCGGGTCACCGCTGATGGATTTTGCCGTCACGTGGATGAGATCTTGAAAACAATAAAAATAAATTAAAAATTGTCCACACGCCTAGGCAGATTTGATAACTTACAAATGTCCTTCGGACAAGTGCCACTAAAGTGTGCCAACTGGATAATGGTAGATCCATCTTCGTGCCCTTCCACGGGGGGCAGTTTCATCAGCGACACGCCACCTCCACCGGAATTCTGCGATGCACCACCCAACGGAACATTTGTCAAAAATATAGCACGTGCCATTTGTCCACAGGTTCGCTTCTCTTCCCTCGAGCCTTCCTTTTCTCCGAAAATCTCCTTCTCAACGTACCCCTGCCCTATGACCAACCCTTTGGCCTTTATCGTCTGTTTGCCGAACTTTAACGATTGATAGCCCCTTTCATCTCGCTTTAAATTAATACCCTCGATCGGCTTACCCAGACAATAAATTCCCCCGAAAACGGCGCACAGCCGGCAGAAACACTGCGGAATCTCCCCGCATCCGTACATCGGAAACAGAAACGGGCTGTTTCCGTACCGACCCAAACTAAGCAGAAACTTCTTCACCCCTTCCAACCCGTCCCGGCAGCTAGTGTGGTCATTCCCCATGGCGATTGTGTACAACAAATAATGGATCAAATTCGGGGTCAACTTTTGTTTCTTCAAATACTCCAGGAACGTCTTTCCCTCGACTTCCGCTGCCTGATGCTCGCTCCCTTCTCCTTCCCCTTCCCAACTTGCGCAACTCTGCAGAAACTTCATCAACAGTCGCTTCTCCACCACATTCACGTCCCGACTTGTAAACACATCCGACCTCGAACACGGAACCGTCATAATCCTCCCGTTCCAGATCGTCGCAACTCGGTCCACCGCTCGGAATTCCGCATACCGACAGATGTTCGACGAAATCAGCAATTCCACCATCGCTCCTCGCGAGTACAGCAGCTTCGGAGCCAGATCCACATTGAATCGTCGAAACTCCTTCAGAATCCGATCACGGTTCCACTCGTCGACGTCGCCCAGCTCGTCAAAATTGTACCACCCTTCGCTGACGTTCTCAATCAGGGTGGCAGCCTTCTTCAGCGCTAGAGATTCATCCTCCTTCTTTTCCACCCCTTGATCCTTCTTGTATTCACGACACTCCTCGGCATACTTCCTCAAACTCTCCAAATTGAACGACGACCAGAAGCCACCGTAGTACTCGTTGGTATCCAAGTGGAGAACCGTCTTGCCAATCCGGCTGGCTGCTGCGGCCACAATCGATTCCGATAGCCCTTTAAACCAAAAAAAGAAGCTCGAATTCAATCAACAAAGAAGCGAAATTAAGGACCAAACTTACCTGTGCCCACCACGATCAGATCGAACTCGGTTGGCAGGTCTTCCTCCATCGTGGGATTTGGTAAATGCAAATTTTCAATTCAAAATGATTATACCCAATGAGATTGGACGTGGACAACGCGGAAAATATAAAATCCTGCTGCAGCTGGTATGATAAGAAGAACGCAGATGCGGATGATGAGTAATGTTTTGCTCGGGAGGACTGTCAATTTTTTCCACCTTTATTGTTTACATGAAATCAGTGAACGTGCACCGACAGAGAGCGCGCTCGCGTATAGAAGTCCTCTTTTAAATAGGAACTGCTCTCTTTTAACATACAAGCATTTGGCATAAAGGCGTATGAATAAAAGCGTTTACTTTACTCTTCCCGTAAGAATAGCACGGGAAAGTAAAGTAAACTCTTTTTATTCGCCAAAAGTGCAGGAACTCAGCGATGAGTAAAATTTGTTACATGGTTTCCTGTGGAAAACCTAAAAAATCTGCCGGAAAATGAGGAAATTGACAACACATTGTAGTTTCATTTTTATACCTGTGATCTTGACTTTTTTACCTAAGGGATGAGTACTTAAGGGGGTTAGATTTTGATAAGTTCTTTAGTGGGAATGACACTGATGAAGACTGCACATTGTAGTCGAAATACGTATCTGTCATGGATACCAAAATTAATTAAGTGGAATTAAATGGAAGATAACCTTTTTTGCTGTTTTATTTAGCATTCCGCTAACAACCCAATTTCATTACTTCATTCCACATGATTTTCATGTGACCACACATAACAGAATCCACCAAGAAGCACACATGAAATTTATGAGTCAAATTAATAGTATGTGTGGTAACACATGGGTTCTATGTGTGCACATATTAAGTATGTATCCAACACATAGATATAATTTCTTGATCACATTGCAAAAATTCATGTGTGGGACATATAAAAGCTTAAGAGAAAGAGGTGACAATTGACTTCTTCCTCTTTTATTTCTATCTCTATCTCTATCTTTATCTATCTCTATCTCTATCTTACGCACATGAAATTGGCCGATCAGGAGCGGGTTCACGTTTGACAGAAAAGTGGTTCATTTTCGCCCCCGTATTATCACCTCTTCTCTTAGATAAAAAGTAGAAGGGTCTGTGCCTAGGGGCACGAACGGAAGCTTGACGTAGGACCGCTAGTGGACGGATTAAATGTGAAGAGGATTTAGTTCTTTTAGTTGATCAATTATCTATTATCTCAACTCTTTCCGTTTTTGAATTGTAGGCGTACCAAATTTGTAGTAATCTTTTTCAAAGAGAAAGTTGATTAAGAGAATCAATCAAAATCACTTGCACCCCTGCTTCCAAGTTTGGTTACAAGATTACAACTCTGGAGAGCATTTTGTGTGGTCGTTGGGAGCTTGTGGTTCTGAATATGGACAAACAAGCACAGATAAATTCTATTCCAACTCTTTACTAATGTAAGCTTGATGGCCCTGAAAAGGGCCGTTTTATTGAAGAGGACATCCATGGCCACTTACGCTTGGCGTGTTTAGTGTAGGTGACAGCATCACGGACCTCATTTTCCAGGAACACCTTCAGCACACCTCGTAGATCAGACCGGAGATACGTTTGACACCACTACGGCGAGCCAGACGACCGATGGCGGTTATCTCGAAGAACTTTGCGATGACGCTTGGCGCCTCCTTTACCAGACCTTTTCCTCCTTTGCCATGACCAGTCAATTTTTGCTTGTTAGGTTGAAGGAGTGGACTAGCCACCACCTTTCTACTGCTGCTATTGCTGTTCACCACGCCATCCGAAGCAAAAATGAGCTAATGCCATACAGCAGCGCTCTTTTATATCTTTTCAGGTTAAAGCAGAATGATGTGCAACCAAGTGGTATAAAAGCTACAAAGACTTCTCCCATTATGAGTAGTTTGCTATCAAGTAGCGACACTGGCTCTTTTCCTTTTGCGTACACGGCGAATGAGAACGACCCAAATTTGAGTTTAGTTCACTCATAATCGCAAAAAGTGCAGGAACTCAGCGATGAGTAAATTTGTCTCATGGTTTCCTGTGGAAAACCTAAAAAATCTGCCAGAAAATGAGGAAATTGATGAAAATGTTATTCAGTCTCAGAGTAGTGCCAATAGACTGAGTGAATCCAATCTTTACTTTTCTCAAATTCGGGATTTTTTCCCTGGAAAATCCTGGGAAAACATGAGGCAAATTTACTCATCGCTGAGTTCCTGCACTTTATTTCTTATTTCTGAGATAACTAAACTCACATTTGGGTCGTTCTCATTTGCCGTGATATCACCTTGAAAGATATCGGCGCCGGTGGTTAGCGTTATTACCTCTCACCCCAGCAGTTCTAAGGCATAACATCTCTGATCCTTCCTTTGGGAAGTAAAGCCGTTGGTCCCCGGTTGAGTTGATGGGTCGATTGGTAGTGTTCAGGTATGGGAGCTGCCTCCCTGGCGTCGGTAGCATTGGAGCTCAGTACGGAAAACAAATCTCGCGTCACTTTTCAATAGGTCCTATCTACATTGATCGATTCTCTTCATCGACAGTCTCTTTCGTAAATAACTCGGCTTCACAAATGTTGCCTGCCATCTTCGTCGAATTAGATGCTAGATTGTTGCTTCTTCCATCGAAAATATCCAGCCGTGGCGATTCAAAGTTGATCAAGGTTGATCAAAATAATTTGTACCCCTGCTTCCAGTTTGATTACATGAGCATTTTGTGTGATCGTTGGTTCTGAATATGGACAAACAGGCAGATTAATTCTATTCCTACTCTTTACTGTAATAAGCTTGGTGGCCCTAAAAAGAGCCGTTTTGTTGCCAAAGTTGGTGATGATTTAACCTCCGAAACCAAACAGAGTGCGTCTCTCTCACTTCAAAACGTAGATGACATCCATGGCCGCTTACGCTTGGCGTGTTTAGTGTAGGTGACAGGAACACCTTCAGCACACCTCGTAAATCAGACCGGAGATACGTCAGACACCACGGCGAGCCAGACGACGGATGGTGGTTATCTCGAAGAATTTGCGTTTGGTTCTGAATATGGCGATGAGTGTGCAAAATATTACGCAATTCCATCCTCCCTATTCCAACGCGCCCGAGGATCGGAGGCAAATGTCACTTCGACTTGTTTCATCTACTTACTACTCTCTGACGACTGTGCTGGGGAAGCAGCATATGCATGTAGGTAATTGGTGGATTTGTTAGTTAATTCGACGCTTTTGGATAATGCTGGACCTTTACCAGTTTTTCAATAGTTTCTTGTTGAAAATCAACATTCAGAAGCATTGTTATCGATGCGTAGCCATATTTATGATCGATTGGTGATAAAATTATTGAAATTGGACCAGGGGCAGCTGAGTTATTAAAGTTCAAAATCTTTCTTAATTTGTTACATGTTCCATTTTCAGGTTTCCGCCACATGACAATCAATTTTTTAATCAATTCTGGCACCACTGCAAATAATGTTTACATTCGATTGTTATTTTGTTTTGGAAAAAAAAAAACCAGAAAAAAACCGTCCTGTCTTGAAAGAAAAATATTCTTGATCTGGATTGAAAACCTCCAATCCAAAGAAAAGGAAATACTAAACCGGTTGGGATCCACGAAAGCAGCGGCATCAGGATGCTAAAAGAGGTAAAGAAGTCTTGCAAGAAAACCAAGAAAAACGCAACGGAAAAGTTTCTGATTGTAAATCCTAGGTTCTCACCAGCTGCAGCCCAATCACATCCAATTAATTGCAAATGCACCCTTTGCTTGATCCTTCTTCACGGGTGGCACGTACCCATTCGTCTTCCTCCTGCAGCGAGAGGGCCAATGCCCGTGTCAAGAACTAATTTTCGGACAAGTTACCCTGAACGGTAGCCGCTGCTGATTAATATTCGATCTCTACAGTTGTGAAATGGTTATGGAATTCTACTACTGCTTCTGACGCAGCAAGTCAATAGTATAGCTGGCGGTCTTCTCATTGTCTTACTCTGATATCCGGAGCTCCAGACTGCGGTCATTTTAGCTCCAATAATCCTCCCGACGGTTGTGCTTTTGACGTAGGACTACGTCTTTGATTTCTATATGGAGGTACACTTTGTGAAAACCAAAAATGTAACATGTAACAAATTAAGAAAGATTTTGAACGTTAATAACTCAGCTGCCCCTGGTCCAATTTCAATAATTTTATCACCAATAGATCAGAAATATGGCTACAAATCGATAACAATGCTTCCGAATGTTGATTTTTAACAAGAAACTATTGAAAAAGTAGAAAATGTCCAGCATTGTTCAAAAGCGTTGAATTAACTAACAAATCCACCAATTATCTACATGTATATGTTGCTTCCCCAGCACAGTCGTCAGAGAGTATTAAGTAGACGAAACAAGTCGAAGTGGCATTCGCCTCCGATCCTTCGGCACGTGCGAATAGGGAGGATGGAATTGCGTAATATTTTGTACACTCATCGCCATATTCAGAACCAAACGCAAATTCTTCGAGATAACTACCATCCATCGTCTGGCTCGCCGTGGTGGTGTCTGGCGTATCTTCGGTCTGATTTACGAAGTGTGCTGAAGGTGTTCCTGAAAAATGAGATCCGTGATGCTGTCACCTACACTAAACACGCCAAGCGTAAGCGGCCATGGATGTCATCTACGTTTTGAAGTGACAGAGACGCACTCTGTTTGGTTTCGGAGGTCAATCATCACCAACTTTGGCAACAAAACGGCTCTTTTCAGGGCCACCAAGCTTATTACAGTAAAGAGTAGGAATAGAATTCTTTTGCCTGTTTGTCCATATTCGGAACCAACGATCACACAAAATTCTCATGTAATCAAACTGGAAGCAGGGGTACAAATTATTTTGATCAACCTTGATCAACTTTGAATCGCCACGGCCGGATATTTTCGATGGAAGAAGCAACAATCTAGCATCTAATTCGACGAAGATGGCAGGAAACATTTGTGAAGCCGAGTTATTTACGAAGAGAATCGATCAATGTAGATAGGACCTATTGAAAAGTGACGCGAGATTTGTTTTCCGTACTGAGCTCCAATGCTATCGACGCCAAGGAGGCAGCTCATACACCTGGACCCTACCAATCGACTCATCAACTCAACCAGGGACCAACGGCTTTACTTCCCGAAGGAAGGCGTGATCAGAGATGTTATGCCTTAGAACATGCCGGTGGCGCCGACTTAGATTGGACCCAGGCCTGCTGGATGAGAGGTAATCACGCTAGCCACCGGCGCCAATATCTTTCAAGGTGATTTTAATTTGAGTTTAGTTATCTCAGAAATAAGAAATAAAGTGCAGGAACTCAGCGATGAGTAAATTTGCCTCATGTTTTTCCAGGATTTTCCAGGGAAAAATTCTCGAATTTGAGAAAAGTAAAGATTGGCGATTATGAGTGAACTAAACCCAAATTTGGGTCGTTCTCATTCGCCGTGTACCCAAAAGGAAAAAAGCCAGTGTCGCTACTTGATAGCAAACTACTCATAATGGGAGGAGTCTTTGTAGCTTTTATACGACTTGGTTGCACATAATTCTGCTTTAACCTGAAAAGATATAAAAGAGCCCTGCTGTATGGCATTAGCAGACGTTAGATGCCTCCCCTTGTGCCGTCCCTCAACAAGAACGGATTACAGAGGAACAAATTTGCTCAGCGCTGAAACACAGTACGAACATGAAGGCTCCCGGGTTTGACGGAATATTCAACCTAGAGTTGAAAAATCTCAGCGCGAGGGTGCACTCGCTGCTGGCTGCCATCCTCAACAGATGCTTGGAGCTGCACTACTTTCCAAGCATCTGGAAGGTGGCAAAAATCATCCCGATCCGCAAACCTGGGAAAGACCCTTCACTACCGTCAAGCTACAGACCGATTAGCCTGCTCTCAGCGCTGAGCAAGCTGTTCGAAAAATTGATCCTCAGCCGACTAAACAAGTTTGTGGAGGAACATGACATTCTTCTTCCGGAACAGTTCGGGTTCCGCAAGGGGCATTCCACCAATCATCAGCTAGTGCGGGTGATGAATAACATCCGAAGTAACAAAGCTGTATCCAAGTCCACAGCCATGGCCTTGTTAGACGTCGAAAAGGCGTTTGACAATGTCTGGCACGACGGACTTATATACAAGCTTTGTAACTCCAACTTTCCACCATACCTTGTGAAAATCACCCGTAACTATCTCCAGCAAAGGTCGTTCAGGGTGTCGTTGAATAGTTCCCTTTCGGGACAATTTCCGATCCCAGCAGGTGTTCCGCAAGGGAGTCTGCTGGGACCACTGCTTTACAGCATCTATACGTCGGACATCCCTCCTCTAGGAGACGGTTGCGTGTTCTTTCTGTTTGCAGATGACACCGCGATAGCCGTCAAGGGTAGGATGCCTCGTGAAATTACGAACAAGCTCCAACGATGCCTTGACACCTTTACTGATTATGCCACCACGTGGAAAATCAAAATCAACGCCTCGAAAACCCAAGCGATCATGTTCCTTCACAGACAATCATTAAAACTTAAACCGTCTCCCTCCTGTACCGTAATAATGGATGGTACAAGGGTCGAGTGGTCCACTGATGTTACTTATCTCGGGATGTTGTTCGATGAGAAGCTCCTGTTCCGCTCGCACATAGAGAAAACCCTAGTTAAGTGCTCCGCCTTGGTTAGGTGTTTGTATCCGCTCATTTGCCGCAGATCCCGCCTCTCAAGGCAAAACAAACTGGCTGTTTACAAACAGATCATAGCCCCCGCGATCTTCTATGCCGCCCCGGTGTGGGAATCGTGCGCTCAGACCCACAGGAACAAAATCCAGGTTGCACAGAATAGAGTGTTGAGGATGATCCTAGATCGTCCATTCGACACAAGAATAGCAGACCTCCATCAAGAGGCAGAAATTCCCAAAGTAGATTCCAAAATTGATGATATGACAACTAAATTTATTCAAAAATGCAATCTTTCTGAACATGCTTTAATAAGCAATTTGTACATAGTAGGTTAAGTGTATATAGTAGAGTAGGTTAGTTTTAAGCTGTAAATAGTAGTATTAAGTAGTTTCTCTTCAAATTCTAAAAACAAAACAAACCAATCCCACCAAGGTGGTCGACCGTGTACTAAGTCTAGGACTAATTCTGTAAAACAAATTTTGAATTTTGCCCATACTTAAAGATGAAGAAAGCAATTAAATCACTTAGTAAAAATTTATATGGTAATCGTCCAAGTTAAACTAAAATAAAGATCATTTAAACTAAAAAAAAAAAAAAAAAAAATGGCATTAGCTCATTTTCTCTTCGGACGGCGTGGTGAGCAGCAATAGCAGCAGTAGGAAGGTGGCAAAGGAGGAAAAGGTCGTGGCAAAGGAGGAAAAGGTCTGGTAAAGGAAGTGCCAAGCGTCATCGCAAAGTTCTTCAAGATAACCACCATCCGTCGTCTGGCTCGCCGTGGCGGTGTCAAACGTATCTCCGGTCTGATCTACGAGGTGTGCTGAACTGCCGCTCTTCGCATGTCGGTCCCATAGTCGTTTTCGTCAAAACTGAGTTTTTCAATGCAAATGGTAGCTAATTACTAATATTTTCATAACACTAGATGAACTCATCAACTTTGTTCTGAAAAAGTTTGGAAAGACAGTCACATTGGTTGTCCCATCACATAAGAAGAAATGGTACGAAGCAAACTTGAAACGCGATTTTCTCGGCTTGCCGATTTTCGCTATGGGACGAACATGCGAAGAGCGGCAGTTAAGGTATTCCTGGAAAATGAGGTCCGCGGTCCTGTCACCTACACTAAACACGCCAATCGTAAGTGGCCATGGTTGTCCTGTACAATAAAACGGCTCTTTTCAGGGCCATCAAGCTTTTATCAGTAAAGAGTTGGAATAGAATTTATCTGTGCTTGTTTGTCCATATTCAGAACCACAAGCCCCCAACGACACAAAATGCTCTCCAGAGTTGTAATCTTGTAACCAAACTTGGAAGCAGGGCTGCAAGTGATTTTGATTGATTCTCTTAATCAACTTTCTCTTTGAAAAAGATTACCACAAATTTGTTACGCCTATAATTCAAAAACGGAAAGAGCTGAGATAATAGATAATTGATCAATTAAAAGACCTAAATGCTCTTCACATTTATTACTTCTACTTTTTCTTTAAAAAAACAACAGCAAAGGAATCGCGTCTGTCATTTTCAGCGTTATGTTATGGTTGAGGATATGGTTGCCAGTAAATTCATTTTTTCGGTTGAAGTTTTGACAACCCGGTGACGATGAACGATGACGATGAAGCACCCAGAAACACCTTCCGACACCCAAAAACACACATGAAACACAATAAGCACAAACACAAGGTGGCAGAGTGACTTACCATACCATACCATACCAAACCATAGAGGTAACTCTAAGACTAGTAGCATAGAGGTAACTCTAAGACTAGAAGGTCCCGAAATAATGTGCTCAACTTTTTGGCTCAGCTCTGGTACTCTCTTCGGTCCCAAGCTAATCGATTCACCCCTAGAAACATAGGAAAAACCAATAACCCCTCATTTTATCTGTCAAACTTTCATAGCGAATCAAAACAAACATTGCGTAGTACTAGAATTTCGACTAGAATGGGGTACGTCAATCGTTTGCTTGGGACCAATAGGCTAGTCAAGTAGTGAGCCAATTTAAAATCGTTAGTTTCGTATTGATTTTTGGTAAAACATTCAACAGAAACTAAGCGATTGTTTTAGCCTCTGGCGGGGAATATGGGAACCCACAAAAGAGTGATGAGGGTGGAAATTTTCACCGTGAAGCATAGGAAGAGGAAAATATTTTCACCTTACCTGATTAATTTATCCACTGCAGTTGCTTGAAATCATCATCCACGTGGAATATTTTGGTGACTGGTGCTTCCATATATGTTTGGTGAGAACAATTAAGATTTATAAATTTGTCCCAGCGGTTATGATCTTCCGGATTTTTATTGTGTGGTTATTTCTGCTGTAAATCAGTTCAGATCTGTAGATAATCGAAAAATAAGACTACACAGCAAAAAAAATGTAATATCGATCAACGTAATTCAAGCTGATGTATGAAATAATGATGTAATAGCAAAAAGCAGATACAATATTACATCAATGGATGTAATTTTGTTCGCAAAATCGATGTAAATCGTACAATGTGATATTACACAACCGATGGATTGACCTGGTTGCAGCAGTTTGGATGTAATATTCAACAACTTTTTTTGCTGTGTACTCCCGATGGAAATTTCTAAGTTGTGCAATAAAATGTACATTATTTTGAGTTTTGAAAATCGTCATTATGATGTAAACAAATGGATTGGATGACATTTCCTCTCAAAATCGGCTAGCGCACTCTACATTGATGGTTCATAAAAAGAGCCTATTGTATGTAGTCTACTTTTGCTTGACGAAATAAATAAATAAACAGGTCGTTAGGCAAAATAACCAGCCGAAAAAAAAATATAATAAAACAGCGAAATTCAAATGATTTTTACTGTTGAATTTCGAGTATAATAAAATTTATTTTTTAAATTGTTGTACAGGAGAAAAAATAAATATCAATTTTTAACGATACAATGCTCAAACAATGCAAATTATTGTGATGAGATCAAATTTGTTGGAGAAAAATCAGTTTTTTTTATTGTTAAGATGCCTAACTTTTTTTACTGTAAATTATCGAACTTTTCCACAAATTGTTTGGATGATACCGCAAACACGTCGTTAATCAAAATAATCATACAAATTTTATTAGGGAACCCATCCAGGCCGAGCGATTTTTTGCTTTTACTTTGATTTCTTGGTGAGTGCCTACAAATTCATCCTAAATCGCCCAATCTTAAGCAGATGTGATGTGTGAACGCATTCCAAATTGTTTACCACGGCTATCGAAAAATCAAAATCGTTACCCACAAAACGCGCGTTCCGTTCGAAATTTTGCAATTTCATCAGTTTTTAATATTTCTTTGTGCTGATTCGGAGCATTCTTTCCACCTCGATCTGCAATCCGAATAATGCAAATGGACCCGAAAAAGGTGAGAGCAGCAATTTGATCATTCACCATTGTCAAAGTAAACGACTGTTATTTTTTTTTTGTTTCAACATTAGAATGGCACTTCCAAGAAGCGACAGTTGGTTATATCGCTTCGTAAGCAGGTAGACGAACTTAAATCGGAATGGATGCGGTTGGAAGGGGACCGCATTCAGCTGGCAGTTCGCCACACGGATTTGATGTGCCACTGGAATTCAATTTCGGGCACCTATGCCGGTGCCTTGCGGCATAGGAACGAAACAATTCAACGGCTACTGAAGGAAGCTGGCATCACTGATCCGTCGGCGAGCGAGCAGAATTTGATCAATGAAAAGGACCTGCGGGATGTGGCTTTCCAGACGACCGATAAGGGCGAACAAACGGAACTCTGGTGATATGGCTGTTTGCGATTGGCGTTTTCAAATGGATATATTCGTATGAATTATGTTTAATATATTACAAAACGTAACCATGAAACTGATTTGGCTTAGTCTACTGTGCTTTTACGCTGGTGTTCAGGTTTGCACGACTGGATTTGCTCTTTTTCTTCTTTTTTCGCGTTACGTAGATGGTGGTTTCGTTTTCGCTATTGTCCTCTACACGATATTCGCTGTACTTGTTAGAATATATAATGACTTCCGGGTTTCTGTGTTGGTTTATGTGCTGCCAGGCTTTTGCAGGAGTTCTTGTTAGGGGTGCATCTACTGGTAGTTGGTCGTTTTGGGAAGTTTCAACGAAAACTTCCGCTGTTGGTTGATCTTGTTTAGTTTCCATAAGATCTTCCTCTGGAGAAGCATCCGTTGGAGGTTGTTGCTCTTGGGATGGATTCGCAGGAATCTCTTCGATATAAGCAACATTATCTTCTTGCGGAGGAACGTCCACTGATGGTTGTTCCGATAGGAAACCATTCAAGGAAGAAGTTTTCTCAACAGAAACATCCATTGGTATGTGGTCGTTTTGAGAGGTTTCAACGGACACTTCCTGCGTTGGTTGATCTTGTTGTTGAATTTCCACAAGAACTTCGTCTGAAGTAGCAGTCGGTGGAGGCTGATCCTGTTGGGGAAGATTCACAGAGATCTCTTCCATAGAAGCATCCTGATGAGAAGTATCATCAGGAGGAATCTCCACTGAGGGTTGTTCCGGTAGGAACGCATTCGAGGAAGAAGTATCTTCAACAGAAGCATTTATTGAAAGCTGATTTTTTTCAAAAGTTTCAACATACGCTTGCCGCGGAAAAGTTTCAGGAGCTTCCTCGGGGGAAGCTTCTCCAAGGGGCTGATCTAGATTCGCGGTGGTCACCTCCACCACATAAGCGTCCATTATTGCTGGCTCTTCATAAGGAGGAGTATTATTTGGAGCTTTCTCCGGAGTGACCTCTTTTAGCACCAGGTCCTTGTTAAAAACATCCGGTGGTGGAGTTATTGGCTGTTCCCGAACAACCTCACAAGGCGCTAATTCACTCGATTTAAAACATTTAATTTCGACCCTACTTGTATCCTTAGTGCGGTTTTCTTTAGAGCGAACCCTCTGCTTCTTGCTATCTTTAGATTCTTCCAGATTCACGGAGAGTTTCCGCTTGCCTGTTGTCGGTGGTTCGCAAAGCGAATTCTCATCATCCGAACCGAAGAGCTTCTTCAGCGTTTCCTTTTTCGATCTGCCATGAGGCTCCTCCGCCGATGCCTTGACCGGTTCTGATAGTCTTGTCTTAGGTACCGGTTTCTCAACAACGGCGGTGGGTTTTTCTCTTTCCGATTTACACCGAATAGTTCGGGTTGGTGTGGATGTATCTAACGTAGCACCTCGATTCGTCTTGGATTTTCTCTCCGCATCCTTTTTAGAACATTTCGTCTTTCGATCCTTCCGAGTGTGCTTCCGCACAACGGATTCTTGCAACCTATCCAAACTACTTGCTTCCCTCTTGCTCTTCTGTTTTGTCGGTTCCCTACGCTTACGTTCCTTACTATCTGATACGATCGGGGGAGACCTAGAAACCAAACAGAAATCGATCATGCCTTACTCTATCAAGCATCCCATCGAATGCAATTAACTTACCTATCATGATAATTATCCTCATTCGCTGAATCACCGTCCGAAGAAGGAATTTCGCCATCTTCCAGTTTATCCTTCTCTTCCACCTCCTGCCATTTGGCAATCACAGTCTTTGCGGCGAACTTCTGCTCTGCAACCGTTTCTTCCGATTCCACGATTCTCAACTCTCGGCTGTCGTTTAGTCTAGGGTCATCTTCGAAGGGCATTTCTGGCACTTGTTCGATGATGGACGGTTCCAATGGAGGAATCACCATCGTCGGTGGCTGTAGAATGATCATTTGTCCGCAACTTTTGTTCAAGTCTTCCAGCAAATCAGTCGAAACCTGCGGGTACTCCAGAGTCCTTTGAGCCGGTGGCGTAGGCTCTCCGTGTAATACCCGCATCTTTTGCTCCACATCTTCCACATTACCTGGCGACAGAGTCGTTCCGATTTCATCCGACTGAATGATTTTTTCCTCCACCTTTACCGCAACCGGTTTCTCCTTCTTCTTTTGCGGTAGCCCGGCATCCCACAACTCCGAATTGGATGTGTCCAGCGTGTCCTTCTTTTTCCTATCACTCCCAGAGCAGCACTCATCCGGCGATCGATTTTCATTCCGTGCAATTTCCTTAACAAACTGATCCAACTCCTTCCGGTTCATCGGAATGAACGTTTGCGACAGCTTCGCATCGGAACCCGAAGCGGCCTTGCCGTGTCCTAGCCTCGATACCCGCAATGGATGTGAAAAACGTACCGGCGAGACCACCGGGGACCGCACTGTCTCCCGATGCCGTGCCCTTCGTTCTTTTTCCCGCTCCCGTTCTCTATTTCGATCGCGAAGCCGTTCTCGGCTTCTATCCCACCGTTGTATTTCATCTTTTCGCTTTTCGGACGCGCTACCTACTGCCGTTTTATCCTTTAACAATTTCTCCCGTATTCGATCTCGTAGATCCGCGGGTTTAGTTGATTTTTTTCTTTCGGGTGACTTTTCTCGTTCCCTTCGAACCTCTCTGGAACGACTTAGCTCTTTTCTCCTCTCATGAGCCCACCTCGGCTCCGTCATCGTTCCCACGCTATCCATCTGTGCTTCTTGGCTCAATATCCGGATCATCGTCGTCTGCGTGCTTTTATCGTGCTTCCACACAGTCCTCCTATCTCTCCTGAATGCAGCATTATCCATCTGGCGTCTTATGTCTGCTATCATTGAATCCTTCCGCTTCAGCTCAGCCTTTGCCGTGAGCAGCAGCGAGGAAATGTTTTCCAGCAAAATTTCATTCTTGCTCGCTATCAACTGCTTTTCGGATTCTTTCTCGACAATCTTAGCTTTCAGGTCTTCAATTTCCGTTTTCAGCTCCTTGATGACTTTATTTTCCTGAAAATAGGTACAATCCGGAACGGTACAACATAAAAGTGGATGATCAGCAATTTGTTTACCTTCTGTGCCTCTACTTCTAATCCGTCCAGATCGCCGTATATGTCGTAATCATCATCCATGGTAGTTATCGTTGGCTATAATAATGTTTTCACTGTAACATGACCATTTGTTTCGGAAATTATCGTACGATTCTTTATGGAAAAATACCGAATATTTTCCAAAATATTCTATTCTCAATCTCCTTTGTTGACAAGTTTTGGCATTTTGAGCTGTTTCTCGCGGGCGAGAGCTGTTATTTCTTGAATCCGACACGTACTCCGACATAATTGCGCGGGTCAAAATTCTTCGGTGCATGAGGTGTAAATATTTACATCGAGGGGTAAGACAGTGAGAAATTCAGAGCAATCTACACTAGAAATACTCAGAGGGAGAGATAGGCGGAGAAAACAAAATACAATTCGGCAGCAGGGATTTGTATCTAAATTATCTTGCAACAGGGGGTAAGTCACTCTGCCACCTTGTGCTAAACACATCAAAAACACTCTTGGACACACTCAAACACCCATTAATCACCATGAGAACAATTTTTCAATCTTTTTTGGCAGCACTGCCTAGAGCCAAGAATGTTTACATTCGTATGATGCTCTTTTTAGTTTTTGTGCATTTTTCTTAAGTAGAGATCACCCTCCAGCAATCGGTAGGATTCCACAGAAATCTGATCGGGACACGGACTCCTGATTTCGTCGAACATCTGTCGGTATCAGGGTCGGTATGCGGAATTTCGAGCTGTGGACCGAGTTGCGACGATCTGGAACGGGAGGATTATGACGGTTCCGTGTTCGAGGTCGGATGTGTTTACAAGTCGGGACGTGAATGTGGTGGACAAGCGACTGTTGATGAAGTTTCTGCAGAGTTGTGCAAGTTGGGAAGGGGAAGGAGAAGGGAGCGAGCATCAGGCAGCGGAAGTCGAGGGAAAGACGTTCCTGGAGTATTTGAAGAAACAAAAGTTGACCTCGAATTTGATCCATTACTTGTTGTACATAATCGCCATGGGGAATGACCACACTAGCTGCCGGGACGGGTTGGAAGGGGTGAATAAGTTTCTGCTTAGTTTGGATCGATACGGAAACAGCCCGTTTCTGTTTCCGATGTACGGATGCGGGGAGATTCCGCAGTGTTTCTGCCGGCTGTGCGCCGTTTTCGGAGGGATTTATTGTCTGGGTAAGCCGATCGGCAAACAGATGATAGAGGCCAATGGGTTGGTCGTAGGGCAGGGGTACGTTGAGAAGGAGATTTTCGGAGTAAAGGAAGGCTCGAGGGAAGAGAAGCGAAAGGAGCACTCCCAAGCAACACACATGTTTTATACCAGTTTATATAACCTTTATATGACTGAATTTGGTTATATAGCAGTTTACTCAACATAATCATATGAATTTGTGTTGCTTGGGCTGTGGTCAAATGGCACGTGCTATATTTTTGACGAATGTTCCATTGGGTGGTGCATCGCAGAATTCCGGTGGAGGTGGCGTGTCGCTGATGAAACTGCCCCCGTGGAAGCGCACGAAGATGGGGCTACCATTATCCAGTTGACACACTTTAGTGGAACTTGCCCGAAGGACATTTGTAAGTAATCAGGTCTGCCTAGGCGTGTGGACAATTTATAATTTATTTTGATTGTTTTCAAGATCTCATCACTCATCCACACTGATGCAATAGTTATTTTTTAAAGCACTTGGTAGCCTAAACACAAAAATGCTTTTTAAGTGAAATGTTCCGTTTTTCCGATATGGATACTCGAAATGCCTTACATCACCTTTAGGGTCTCTATTGCTGCAATGATGACTCCCACAATTGGGGATGATGATTCAACGTCAAGCTCAACATTATAAAAGCAGACCATTTCAGCCTCTAATGAGCTAAATTATCCGTAACTATATGAAGAAATGAGCGCATAATAATCATCCAGTCAATGATTGACCGATGGCTGTAGAAAGATATTCCTTTCTAATTTGGTAGTCATTCCATACCAAATCAGAGAGATCCGGCCTACAGCCGGCGGTTAATTTTTGCAGGACGAGTCTAGGGGGCACGATAATTTCATCGGATTATTCAGAATATGCTTTGTTCTTCCCGTTATGCCACTCAACAATTTCATATATGGCTATCAAGACATTTACGAAGAAAAAGCTGGTTATTTATATTTTGTGTGTATGCCAGAACTAGCGCTACTTGAAAAAAAAAAATCCATTCCCGTATTCGTGAACTACTATGAAATATGCACCGGATCTCGTTCACTAAGTATATTAAGACATCAAACGACCAAATGCGTGCTTCGTGGGTGGCATAGTTGGAATCCTCCCGATCATATTCGCATCGATCCTTGCTCCATGTATTCTCACGAGGAGGTCACCACTCGTTCCGACCCATTCCGCCGGTAATGGGTTGTCGGCTGCAATATCCGATGTATTCTTTGACGGCCCGGTCATATCAAAGCAGGATCTAACGTCTCCAGGTAGTTAGTAGTCATGAAGACAATTCTCCCCTCCGTCGATGCCACTCCGTTCGTTTAACAAACCACTAAACGATTCAAACCCTCGAATGCTGCCTTTTGCACGCGATAATAAAGCGGCGTCTGTGTTCTAAAAAAAGAAAATCTCAGTGACATTCACTACCCTTCTCGAGACGCTCCTATCCTACCTTCTTCCAATATTTTGAAGTATACGTTTTTGTTCCGTCCAAACACAGTCAGCTGTTCCGTTTACCACGGTATTCCCGCGTGCAAATCCAGTGTGTGTTGTTCTCTGGCTTGGTCCACGTTCATCCGTATCGCAGCACGTTCGGCAGGAGGAGTCTGAAAATTTATTGTTTATTGTTATCCTTTCTCCAATCAACAGCAAACACATCGCATTGGAATCAGCTGTGATAGATGTAGTGGTTGCCAGAAAACTTTATTTTTCACTCAACGTTTTGACAACTATGTTGACACGCTGAAACACCTTCTGACACCCAAAAACACCGAAGAAACACAATAAGCACGGACACAAGGTGGCAGAGTGACTTACCCCCTGATTGACCTATAATATTGTGTCATTTTCGTTGCTCTCGTGTTCATTGAACCTCACTAAGCGAAGGGATGATGAAACAGAGCAGCTGTTTATATTTGACTTTGAAATTTTACTTCTTTGCATCGTCTTGGGTGATTCGAGAACGTTCTTCAATTATTGCTAATTTATCGCATTCACAACAAATAGAATAAATATTACGCGCAATGCGCAATATCACTCGTGAGCGCGCCCCATTCGTGCTCAGTTGTGCCAACCGAGCGAAAAAAAAAAGGTTCATCAAAATCGCGCACCAGCAGCTCTCGGTTGCCGATGTTTTGTGTGTGCCTTTTTGCGTGCAGCCGAGCCGAGAGTCGATCCTTTTGATGTGCAGAGTAACTCAGCTAACTAACCAGCAAAGTGCGAAATTTCGGAGCAAATTAAATTCGCCGCGAAATTGGTTTCCGAACCGCCGGAAGCGGTCAAAAATATCGTGTAACTGCGCGTCAAGGGAATGGGAGTGGTTTGTACGTAAAGTTTCCCGGTTTCGGGTGTGATCTGAGTGAGAAAACTGCATTTGTTTGGTGGCATTTTCCTTGCATGAAAGGAGGAGGAGGCTTTTTTTTTGTGTTGGCTCGTTCCGTCTAGAGCGCTGGGTTTCATAGCCGAAGCGAAGTGAGTCCCGCGGATGAATATGAATTCGCGGCGCACTGCGAAGAACAAAGAAGAGAACGAGACGGAAGATTGTATAATCGTTCATTCGTGTGGAATAGGAAAAGAGTAAGAAGAAGAAGGTTGCAAAGCGCCGAAGGGCTGTCAAATTCGTTTGTGAATGGGGAACATCGACAGGAAGAAAAACGCAATAATTACGAGGCGACGATCGGCTAGTTTTCGAATGCGCGTTTGTGTCCGTGAACGGAACGATTGGGTAATGTTCCTGCGAGGAGGATCGAAGACAAGGGAATCAATGATCCCAAATTTGTTGTAAAATTCTGTACGGTGACGGTGTTTTTGTTTTGCATTTTCCAACTTGGTCAGAATGTATTTATGTGTATGTGTGTGTGTGCGTGTGAAGCAGCTTCTGATCCAGTGAAAATAATTACGGTTGAGGAAAATAATGATTTTCTTCGGAAGGCAAAGCGTGACAGTTTGAGAAAGATTAGCACACAGTGTATTTAGGCGTTGCACTCGAATCCAGTTGAAGCAGATTTTTATAGAAATCCGTGGGAAATAACTCCGCAGTCATGGTCCTGATTTGACATCAAGCGATGCACCGTGAAGACCTGCAATTGTATTGGTAAGGCGTCCCATTTTCTAATCGTTTTTCAATGTTTAAAATCCCCTTGGTTCTGGTTAACTCAGACAGGAAAATTTTCTTGGAAAATAATTTGTTATGGGAAATGTTTTTTTGACGTAGGACTACGTCTTTGATTTCTATATGGGGGTACACTTTGTGAAAACCGAAAATGGAACATGTAACAAATTAAGAAAGATTTGGAACGTTAATAACTCAGCTACCCCTGGTCCAATTTCAATAATTTTATCACCAATCGATTAGAAATATGGCTACGCATCGATAACAATGCTTCCGAATGTTGATTTTCAACAAGAAACTATTGAAAAACTGGTAAATGTCCAGCATTGTCCAAAAGCGTCGAATTAACTAACAAATCCACCAATTACCTACATGCATATGCTGCTTCCCCAGCACAGTCGTCAGAGAGTAGTAAGTAGACGAAACAAGTCGAAGTGGCATTCGCCTCCGATCCTCGGGCGCGTGCGAATAGGGAGGATGGAATTGCGTAATATTTTGCACACTCATCGCCATATTCAAACCAAACGCAAATTCTTCGAGATAACCACCATCCGTCGTCTGACTCGCCGTGGCGGTGTCTGACGTATCTCCGGTTGGATTTACGAGGTGTGCTGAAGGTGTTCCTGAAAAATGAGATCCGTGATGCTGTCACCTACACTAAGCACGCCAAGCGTAAGTGGCCATGGATGTCATCTACGTTTTGAAGTGACAGAGATGCACTCTGTTTGGTTTCGGAGGTTAAATCATCACCAACTTTGGCAACAAAACGGCTTTTTTCAGGGCCACCAAGCTTATTACAGTAAAGAGTAGGAATAGAATTCATCTGCCTGTTTGTCCATATTCAGAACCAACAATCACACAAAATGCTCATGTAATCAAACTGGAAGCAGGGGTACACATTATTTTGAACTTTGAATCGCCTCGTCCGGATATTTTCGATGGAAGAAGCAACAATCTAGCATCTAATTCGACGAAGACGGCAGGAAACATTGTTGAAATAGAGTTATTTACGAATGAGAGCGTCGATGAAGAGAATCGATCAATGTAGATAGGACCTATTGAAAAGTGACGCGAGATTTTTTTCCGTACTGAGCTCCAATGCTACCGACGCCAGGGAGGCAGCTCCAACACCTGGACCCTACCAATCGACCCATCAACTCAACCGGGAACCAACGGCTTTACTTCCCGAAGGAAGGCGTGATCACAGATGTTATGCCTTAGAACATGCCGGTGGCGCCGACTGAGATTGGACCCAGGCCTGCTGGGGTGAGAGGTAATCACGCTAACCACCGGCGCCGATATCTTTCAAGGTGATATCACATCGAATGAGATCGACCCAAATTTGAGTTTAGTTATTTCAGAAATAAGAAATAAAGTGCAGGAACTCAGCGATGAGTAAATTTGCCTCATGTTTTCCCAGGTTTTTCCAGGATTTTCCAGGGAAAAATTCCCAAATTTGAGAAAAGTAAAGATTGGATTCACTCAGTCTATTTGTACTACTTCGAGACTGAATAAAATTTTCGTCAATTTCCTCATTTTCTGGCAATTTCCTCATTTTCTTCTACAGGAAACCATGAGACAAATTTACTCATAGCTGAGTTCCTGCATTTTTGGCGATTATGAGTGAACTAAACTCAAATTTGGGTCAGTTCTCATTCGCCGTGTACGCTAAAGGAAAAGAGCCAGTGTCGCTACTTGATAGCAAACTACTCATAATGGAAGGAGTCTTTGTAGCTTTTATACCACTTGGTTGCACATCATTCTGCTGATATAAAAGAGCGCTGCTGTATGGCATCAGCTCATTTTCGCTTCGAACGGCGTGGTGAACAGCAATAGTAGTAGTAGGAAGGTGGTGGCTAGTCCACTCCTTCACACCTAAAAAGCAACAATTGACTGGTCGTGGCAAAGGAGGAAAAGGTCTGGTAAAGGAGGCGCCAAGCGTCATCGCAAAGTTCTTCGAGATAACCGCCATCGGTCGTCTGGCTCGCCGTGGTGGTGTCAAACGTATCTCCGGTCTGATCTACGAGGTGTGCTGAAGGCCCTTTTCAGGGCCATCAAGCTTACACCAGTAAAGAGTTGGAATAGAATTTATCTGTACTTGTTTGTCCATATTCAGAACCACAAGCCCCCAACGACCACACAAAATGCTCTCCAGAGTTGTAATCTTGTAACCAAACCTGATTTTGATTGATTTTCTTAATCAACTTTCTCTTTGAAAAAAATTACTACAAATTTGGAACGCCTACAATTCAAAAATGGAAAGAGTTGAGATAATAGATAATTCATCAATTAAAAGAATTAAATGCTCTACACATTTATTCCGTCCACTAGCTGTCCTACGTCAAGCTTCCGTTCGTGCCCCTAGGCACAGACCCTTCTACTTTTTTTATTATTTTAACAGCGGGTCATTACCAGTATGTTGTTAGTAAAGATTTTAGGGAAGGGGAATTGAATTCATACTTATATTTAACAGCGAAAGGAGGTAATCAGAAAATAAAACTGAAAACACCGAAAGAAAGGGCATTAGGTATTCCATAGAATTGAAAAGTTTTTTTTTACTTTGTTGTATCGTTTTGGCTTTTTTGTTGTCTTTTTTTGTGTGTTCATTATGAATGGCGAGTGCCGTCACGCACACAATGATCGGAGGGTAATGCATAATGAATTCGAGATCAACATTTGAAAAGGGCAGAGGAGTCAAAATGTAAACAAACCACATTTTGCCACATATTGACCCTTCTGACGTTTATAACTCGCACACTTGCGTGATCTCATTTTCAGGTGCAATGTTTCCTTGATAAAAATAATAATGATAAAGTTACAATAAATTCTATTGTTGACAATTCAAGCTGAACATTGCATTAGGTCCTAAGTAACATTGACAGATTCTCTCGTCGACATTCTCTTTGTATCCCCATGGCCATGTAAAGACATTCTCAGGTATTTTCAGCATACAGAGCATGAGCATGAGCATGATTGACCGCCCACGGTTGCTACTCTGTTATTGCCAGACCAGCTGTAATTACACAGAGAACCAATAGACGATGCTTGGGACTAGCAATCATCCTCAATGTGTAAAAACTGGTGATCTCAAACTAGGCAATACCAGCGCCGGCCGCGCCCGAACACAGGTCAAGAAAGGAAGGGGTAGGAATGTGTTGACGTGACACTCGTTTTGATGTCAGGTATTTTCAGCATACAGATAGGTAAAAGAAGTTTTTATCTAGCATCTATAGTAATACGACAAACACAACAAGAAACGGTTATGATGCTCAAGTTATTAACGAAAGAGGAAGTCGACGAAGAGAATCGATCAATATTACTTAGGACCTAATGCAACGTTCAGCATGAATTATCCATATTGTAGTTGTATTTTATTGGTCAAGTGATCAAATTTTCACCACATTAAATAAAATTTATAGCAATGAGATTACATTTCTAGACTAACATATGAAAAGGGCGTAATTCCAAAATGACCATATCGAGAAAATCACTTCTGAATTTTGATGACCTAAAAATTAATCCTATTTCACGACTTTCCATTTGCTGGATGATTTTATAAGCTTGACATATAGTTAATAGTGTAATCTATCATCATGCATCACTAAAAACTCAAAAAAAAATTTCTTTGTCGTGAAATCGAGAAGAAAACATCATACGCCCTGATAATTTCATACATGTTGTTACCCCCCGGATCATCCACCCTTTGAACTGCCAACACTGGTGATACGCCGTGGAAGTACACCCTCGGGATATTTTGTTTGTTGTTCCGCCTTGGTTCTTCGTTCGCAAATTTTGTGAGAGTGGAATTACGCCCGGAGATTTTTTGGTCTTCTTTTTGTTCGTTGTTTACACGTGAACTAATAATCGGATGCATTTAAAATGAATCGGGCGTGACTGGATACTACAGAATCAAAACATTTGGCATATTAAAACGATATAATTCGTAGTTCTGGTGCAAGGCGTAACAACCAGATTCATCATAGAGTTGAAAGTTGGAAATACGCCATATAAGAAGAAACGTTTTTGATGATTTTAAGTGATATTTTCTTCTACTTTTTCGTGTTTATCGAGTAGTTTGTGAACTATTCTCTCTATATGTGGCAAAATATGGTTTGTTTACATTTTGGCTCTTCCGCCCCATTCAAATGTTAGTCTAGATTTGTTCGAGATAAAATGAATTTTTATAGGGTTACGTTAACTAACAACCGAGCTAAATATTTACGCTGTATGCAGCGAAGAATGTGCTATTAACATATGTGTTCAGGGTACCTAATCAAACCATTTGGGGAATAGTTATATAATTTGGGTTGGTCGTTCGGGTATTGTATTTGTTTATTAGGGTGGTGTAATCGTATTAAGTTTGTGCCAAAAATTGATGCTAATAACCATGGAGTTGCGAACGACAGGATCACTAACCAGCACAAATGTAAATACCTCATAAACCGAAGCACGCTAGTCAGACTAGCGATTTCCGACGTCATTAGCAGACCAGAGATACCAGCAAGAAATGTAGCTCTTATTTTCAGTCCGAAGCACAACCATTCTGTACTATCTAGTCATGCTCGCTTTATTTGAAATGTATCACCTGTACAATCAGAAAAAAATTAAACTAAAACGCTATTCGCCTTGTTGACCCAAGGCTGCGTTTAGTTGCCAACAAAACGAGCCAAGTATAAACTTGAAATATAAGGGGTATAGTATATCTTTCGAATATACATGCGTAGTTTAATGCTGGTTTATCCCAGAACGATTTCCACGCCCCCAGGTTTGTTTTAGTAGTCAAAAGGATCCTTGGAGGCGAACCAGCCCAAGGCTGAAAGCCTCCCTAATAAAGATAAATTAATTAATTAGTCAAAAGGATCATCAATAACACTGACAGAATTGATATGTGAATTGTTTAAAAGCGCCATTCCTATACGATGCAGTGGCGTCGCGTAACCTCACTTTTTACCTGTTCAAAAACTTTGAAAACGTTATTTAGG